CGCACGTGCAGTGTTATATAATACAAATCTATTTTTAATTTATTACCGGATACAGAACGAACAAGAGGAGGAGAACGCTATAGGACGGCTGGCACAAATGTCGTCGCCGAGATCCCCGAGGCTGACTAAGCGGACGGTGGCTGAAGCCTTTCACCAGCGGTCGGCGGGCCTTCACGCAACCATTTACAACTTATTACCTTGGGATTTACCGCTCGGTGTACTTTATAGTAATGTAAAAATGTCCTGACTGAATGGTATACTCAGGCAATGGTTATCAGTAGTACCGAAGGCTGAATATCCGGCTGAAGAGGCATAATGGCTATAGACAAGCCCCTCTGAGTGTCAGAAGTATACTAAAGGTATTTGCATTGGTCTTGAACTATTTTAGCACCCGTTTATATGTGTTCTGCGTGAGCTCAACGAGGTAGGTGTCGAGACGCTCTCTACATCGCCCGCCGACCGCTGGTGAAAGGCTTCAGCCACCGTCCGCTTAGTCAGCCTCGGGGATCTCGGCGACGACATTTGTGCCAGCCGTCCTATAGCGTTCTCCTCCTCTTGTTCGTTCTGTATCCGGTAATAATTAAAAATAGATTTGTATTATATAACACTGCACGTGCGCCCTAGTAAAGGAGGAGCGAGAACGCTAAGGACGGATGGTTTAGGAGCCTGAGGTATAGCTAGATATCCCTCCCAACTTCCAAGTTGGGTGGCGGGCGCCTACCGTCAGACGCGAAGTGACGCACTGTCACACACATCCGCCAGTCACGTACAGCCATTGTCACGCCTCTCCCCTGCGCTTCTACCTCGGACTTGGACGTATTGCTCGACGAGGACTTTCCCAAAGATTTCTGCCAAACATGGATGGATCCAGCAGTACATTAACAGAGGGGAAGAGAAAGCCGGTTGTAATCATTACGATTGGCATGGCGGGTGCAGGCAAATCCACCTTTGTGCAGCGGATTAACTCGTACCTGCACTCGCTTGACCCACCCTCGCCTCCTTACATCCTCAACCTGGATCCAGCAGTCACGCATGTGCCATTTGATCCGAACATTGACATACGGGACACGGTCAATTACAAGGAAGTAATGAAGCAGTGTGTGTCTCATTTAACCCTTTCTTATCCGAAGGCGACGTGACAGCTGAATGCGACTTATTATGTAGGTATAACCTAGGGCCCAATGGAGGCATCTTGACAGCTTTGAACTTGTTCACAACCAAGCTTGATCAAGTGTTGGACTTGGTGGAGAAACGTGCAGAGACAGTCGAGTAAGCAGCGTCAAACAGTCCCGGCTTGCCTACTGCCTGACGATATGTCCCAGCTATGTCATCCTTGATACGCCAGGGCAGATAGAGATCTTCACCTGGTCGGCGTCCGGTGCTATTATCACCGACGCGGTTGCCTCCTCATTCCCCACCGTTGTCGCATACATCATCGACACGCCGCGGACAACAGCACCAGCAACGTTCATGTCGAACATGCTCTACGCCTGCAGGTACGTACGACTGCTCACATCCACCTATCATCGTACTCAGCTCTGTATCTCGTTAGTATCCTATACAAAACGAAACTTCCTTTCATCCTGGTGTTCAACAAAACTGATGTGCAGCCTCACGATTTCGCTGTGGAATGGATGCAGGACTTCGAGGCGTTCCAGATGGCGCTCAATTCCCATAGCGGAACGACTGACTCTGAAGGCGAGCCAACGTACATGAACAGCCTCATGAATAGCATGAGTCTTGTGCTGGACGAATTCTATAAACACCTCAAGGTCAGTAAGTCGTACTTCGGTCTCGAAAATCAGGCTCATGTCTGTGCAGGCTGTGGGAGTGTCAAGTATGACCGGGGCGGGTGTGAAGGAGTTCTTCGAAGCTGTCGAGGCATCTCGAACGGAATACGAGAAGTCAGTCACTACGTCGTCGCCTTCGCAATGTTGAACGTCTGATTGTTAACTCCAGGGAATACCTGCCCGAGCTGCAACGCGCCCGCGCCTCACGCGACAAGTCTCTGCAAGCCGTGAAAGAGGAATCAATGACACGATTCATGAAAGATCTCTCCATCGACCGAGAGCGGAATCCGAATGCGGCACTCCGGGACCGCTGGCGACCTGAAGACGAGGACGACGACGAGGATCCAGACGTCAACATAGTCGATCGCAGTAAGCGAAATCGCACGCGACTATTTTTGACGCGTGGCTTATCCGTTTTCCTTTCCCCCTTCAGGCGAGGAGCCCTGGCCTGGCCAGTATATCGACGTTACTCGCTCACGAAAAGGAGACAGCGAATCTGTCAACTGGCCTCGGCCGAGTTAGAGATAATCAATGCGAGCCCAAATGAAGTGAAGTGTATTTGTATTCTTGAATTACGGTGTACTCTGGCAAGTCCGCGTTCCTCGTGTCTCCGATGCGCCCCTCTACCTATCCAGACAATACAGGCCGCTGAGGACCAGAACCTGTCAGCGCACAGCTAGGCACCCGTGACGGCGCTGACTGCGTCCGTGTGGACTCTATTTGATGCACCAACCAGACTCTCTCCCGACTGTGGAGCATGGGAACTGCTTGCTCGGGCCACGGTTGTTGCTATGATCCCAGCTAACGTTGGTCCGGACATTAGCTCACCACATCGGTGCTGTCGATGTGCAAATACCTGAGCCCACATGCCTTTGTGGCCCCTACGATTGGCTCGGCCAGGGGCCGCTGAGCGCGAATAGCTCGCGTTGGCGATAAGGCGGAGTGGTGCAACTGAATCCTCGTCGTCTACAACTTCTACTATTCGGTCCTACATCGACTGTGAGGCGATAAATCATGCTGTAGACAATAACGTCGGACTACACAAACGTCTGGAAGTACCGGACGCGTCTGTAATCAATTACTTGCCGAGACATCGGTGGCTGTGTGCATCCTGCCCACAACGGGAGCGTGTCGTCCCGCAGACGATCACAAGTTTTATATCTCTTCTCCAGAACAAAGCCCCTCGCTGCCCGTATCTCGCTCTCGTGTCGTTCTGCGTGTACAGCACGGAGAAACCGCTCAAGTCAGCAGCGGCAGAGGAGGTTGTTACGTGATTAAGACAGCGGTCCGTATTCGGCTCGAGGTGGGACCCACAGGTGCAATTCAAGGTAGCCAAACAGTTGCTGTCGACCCGCTGCTCGCAACGTCTTTGCTGCCGTTCAAGACACACTCTCCCCCTGATTTCGCCTCCAAGCCGCTTGACTGTCTTCACGTCTTCCTCTTATCCTGGTCTGGCTGTCATCCGTGTAGCGCATCTGTTTGCCACATCAAGTCATGGACCGGTGAGCGAATCTTTTCACCGAATGGACTAGTTGTAGATGAGCGGTATGGCTTTGCTGACGAGGCCCGCTCCCCAGCTATGCGAAAATTGAGAAGATTGGTACGTGGTTGGCAGTGATTTGAAGGTGATGAGGTGTTCAATCTGACGATGGGCGTGGCTGGGCGTTGAAAAATCGCAGGCGAGGGTAAGCAGCATGCAGGTATTCCGCTTCCCGTAGAGACTCATCTATGTTTCACTACTTTTAGGTACTTATGGTGTGGTCTACAAGGCGCGGGATATGAATAGCAACAGCATTGTCGCCCTGAAGAAGATCCGTCTCGAGGCCGAGGACGAGGGCGTGCCCAGTACAGCTATTCGGGAGATCAGCTTGTTGAAAGAGCTGAAGGATGAGAACATCGTTCGGTGCGCTTTCTACGTTCCGCTTCATGGTTCTACGAGATATTCACGTCGGGCGCGGTCATGGGTAGGCTATTGGACATTGTACACGCGGATGCCAAGTTGTACCTAGTGTTCGAGTTCTTGGATATGGATTTGAAGCGTTACATGGACAACGCCAACCGAGCCGGCGCGCCAATTTCGATGAACCTCGTAAAGGTACGTTTTACGGCCTAGTGAGCAATTCTTTCGTTTCTTTCGTTTGCTTCCTTCGACGTGTTGCATACGCGTGCCCAATGGACACACAGCGCGTGGCGCGTTTCGAGACGCGTCTGTCACGTGACTGTCACGCATGTAGTCAGCTTCCACACTTGCTCCTCGGAGTACCACTGGGAGGCGCCAGCTTTGTTTCGATGGAATAATTCGATCTGCATCTAATGTATGGGACAATGGACGCTAATGCTAGCATCGTCTTGCTTGTGGTCATCATGAGCCACCGGTCGACTGCAAATATCAACGATTTACTTCCCCGTCTACCTTGCTTTTGCTTCGTCATAATGTCATTTCTATCATTGACTCGGGCTCATCCCAATCACAGAAATTCACCCACCAAATGTTGTGTGGTATTCTATACTGCCACACCCACAGGATTCTCCATCGCGACCTTAAACCCCAGAACTTATTAATTGACAGATACGATAACTTGAAGCTGGCTGACTTCGGACTGGCAAGGGCCTTCGGTATCCCTATGCGTACATATACGCACGAGGTACAAAGATATCCGCCTGCCTGCCTGTTGCGTCCACGGATAATAATTGGTCGCTTTTAGGTCGTGACCCTGTGGTATCGCGCCCCCGAAGTGCTGCTAGGCTCTCGGTACTACTCCACCGCCATCGACATGTGGTCCGTCGGCTGCATCATGGCGGAGATGGCCCTGCACGGGTCCCCGCTTTTCCCCGGCGACTCAGAGATCGACCAGATTTTTAAGATTTTTAGGTGGGGAGATATTCGCAACCCATGCTGCTTTGTCGCTAATGGAAACAATCCAGGGTCTTAGGGACACCGGATGAAAACACTTGGCCCGATATCAAGAACATGCAGGATTACAAGCCGTCGTTCCCCCGATGGCACGCGCAGGATCTTGCGGCACATGTGCCCGACCTGGACACTGCCGGCATAGACTTGTTGAAGGTACGTGCGCCTTCCACCCCATGTGCTGATGATATTTTAATCACGTCTGCGCGCTATTTAGCGTTCACTCATCTATGACACGTCGAAGCGTATCTCTGGTAAGCGGTCCATGTAGCGTTGCGTTGGGCTTTCTCTGAAGATGTTCCATAGCCAAGAGAGCCCTTGTCCACCCCTATTTTGCAGACTACAAACCTTAATTCTGTACGTTTCACATCTTGTATCTCGCCGCCACCCCATCGTCTCGTGTCTCGCACTCGCATCGTGTCTGTTTCCTTAGTCTTGCATTATGTCTGTCCCTCTTTTCATCAGCTGCATTTGGTATCTTTACGCACTTATATTATCAATTGTAAAAACGGAGATCCTGGAATACACCTTGCCCCTCCGTATTTCCTTGTCGAAACCGAAGCTATTGCCCCGGCCTAAGCACGATAAGGGTTATGATAGCTGTCGTACCTATTTCTCACTTGTGCAGATCATCTGTCCTAAGCGGCAACCCTCGGAATCCCATAGCGGTCAAAAGTTCTATACGACCATATTTACACACGAAGACAAGAATACAATGCATGGCAATGGGAAAATGAAGAACCTAGAAGATGGCATACTGAAGAAAGGCATAGGAGTATAGGAATCAGGGAAGTACGCCATAGGATAGATATCATCAAGACCGGTCAATATCTGACTGCCTTAACTATTCCCACTGTTCGTGTACCTCCAAGCTTGTCCGAGGAAAGGACCCTGCAGAGGTCCGGGAATCGGCATGCCCTACACGAGTGGGTATGACAGTCGGCCATGCACGATCGCACACTGCAAGCCAGACTATGGAAGCGCAGCGATAGCACAGGACTGTCCCAGCGAGAAAGAATCCTGCTGCTCCGTTCCAATATACGTGTCGGCGACCCCGTACGTGCGTGTTGGCATACCTGTGATACTTACGTTTACGCAGAACCGTAGAACCTCCGTCGTAGTAGGTGTGTGGACAGTCCGTCCGTGTCCATTCTAGAATGTGATAGCACCAGAGACGTTGCCGCTGGGTTTCTTCCTGTGCAAACCGTCAGTCATAAGGATGAGAGAGAAGGTGAGGAAAGACGCACAGTAGTGATCACGGCGTGTCAGGTTCCAATTTCTCACCGCGAGCGAGGACGCGCACGACCTTCCCGGGGCCTTTGCCCGGCTGGCCGACCATCTCCATCATCGCCATAACGGCGGGCGGTCGCTCGACGAGACCTCCGCCTCTCTCTCCGCCACCGCGTTCGGGGGGGTTCGAGCTCCTCCTAACACGCCCGCCGCCTCCACCATGGTGATGTCCGTGGGTCGGGGTGGGGTTGCGCTTGCGTGAAATGTCGTCTTCTTCGCGGTCAGCGGCGCCGGGCTTGACCTCCATCACCATAATACCGGCCTTGCGGGCCCAGTAGGCGACGACACTCCCGGCGGAACGAGGTTCGTGCTTGTTGGCGAGCACTTGCGGTGCTGGTAAGGGCACTGGGGAGATTGTGGTGGATCCGGCTAGAGGGTTCGGGACCGCAAGAGGTGCGTTGGCGGAGGCTACCACAGCAAGGACGACCTTGGGCTCGGAGCTCTTGTTGGCTGCCCAACCCATGGTCTTCTGTCCGTTCTCCGCCTCCCAACGAGCACAGCAGATGGTGCGGCGTAGCCATTCGGGGGAGCCTAAAGCGGGAGGAGAAGGGCTAACAGCCTTCTCATCTTTATCTTTGGTTTGATCCGGATCTGAGTCACTTGTGAAGGGGATGCTGTCCCAGGGCACGAAGGCATCGTCTCGCTGGACTCGAATGCGAGGGTTCATACCAACCTGAGCCTCGAGAATGCGAGAGGCAGCACGAGCACGCTGAGCAAGAGGGGAAGTGCCCTTCTTGAGCAGATCAAGTGTGTTCAGAGCTGTGTAAGAGATAAGCATATCAAGCGAGGAGAGGATAAGGTGACGAGCCTTCAAGAGGTACTATGATGATCTCCTCCCTATCGTCCCTGCACCACTTCTTCACCTGGCCGATACAGTGGATGAGGACGCTTGCATCAACCACGACAACGTCGGCGTCCTTGAACTTCGCTTTGACATTGCCAGCCTCTTCCACCTTCTCGTTCTTGACGTCCTCCTTGACTCCGTCCCGCTCGCCACTTCCCCCACCCCTCCTCTTCGTCGGCTTGCTTGCCGACGGCGGGCGCTTACCGCCGCCGCCGCTCCTTCCTGTGGGCGTGACGCTTCGATTAACATGCGCCTGTGGGTGCTTGCGGTCCCGCCAGTTGTGCGAGTTAGCAGCCGTCTTCTCCAGCTGCTCCACTTGATGGTTGAGAAACGCTGCGCCCAAAGCGCGAGACATGGCAAGCTTGTTGTTGTTCATAGCGATTGGTCCCTGGGGAAAGCTAGTTCCCAGCAGTTCTTATGAGGACTAAGAGAAGGCGCACCTTTTCGGTCATAGTTGTACTCTCCAAGCTGTGGTGCCGGCTGTGGCCTATGTTGTGTCAACTGACAGAGCCACAACTACCAGAAACGGCAGTAGACTGCGGCTGACATACGAATCACCTTCAACGGAACGCACAGCTATATATGTAGATGTATACACCGTTTCGTCGCTTCTATGCCAGTAGTGACCGAAGCATTGACAAGCAGAACATAACGAATGCATTACATCGCTGACAACGCGTTTGAGAGTGAGTGAAGGCCCTCCGAAACACTTTGGTTCGGGCATTGTGGCATTAACGGCGACTTGAAGCTCGGCTCGCTTTCATGGGTACCTGGACTAAGTCCGATATCCGAATCGTAAGAAGAATGTAATGCTCGCCAGGAAGACTAATACAAGCCATGCATGAATACGTGAGCAAAGAATCGTACGTAAATCCGCTATGCCACAATGGACGATGAGCTTCGTCATGTACTTGATACACGGATCAGTACCGTTGCGAACCCTATTTGGTGAGCCCTAAGGCTGATTCGGTTGGAAAACGGCCCTCATGGATGTATTTAGGACGTCCGGACTGACTCGGACCAAACCTGACGCTTAGGCTGAAGTCAGTACTTTAGGGTCCAACGACTCTTCAGGCTACGCCACACACCCCCTGGGTTACGGGAACGAAAGTGAATGGCAAGAAAGGCTCTTGAGTGTTTATAAGTGGCAGCTCTCGAGCGGTCCCAACTGCTGATATATTCATGAACAAGTCTCCAAAACTAAGGATCAATGACAAGCCCCTCTATCGTCCGAGATTCTCGCTACCTCTACGTACCTGGCAGTGGTAGACTTCGGACTATAGTCAAAGGTGTGCCTACTGGTATAAATGCTGCGTCTGTCTTGCCGTCGCGGTAAACATCACCACTCGCACCTGAACGGATCATCATGCCTACTTCCACCTTCCTCCTCAACGACGGTACGCGCATTCCGGTCCTTGGCTTCGGGACTGGCACTGCCTTGATGAGGCAAGAGGCCGCCAACCCGACGAAGCTCGCCCTCGAAGAGGGCTTCGTGCACTTTGACACCGCGCAAATGTACGGCAATGAAGACGTTCTGGGTGGTGTGCTCGCCGAGTGTGGAAAGCCCCGTGCGGAGCTCTACGTTACGACCAAGATCGCGGAACTCAAAGAGAGAGAGACGATCAAGAGTTCCCTGCAGGGGTCTCTCAAAAGGCTGAGGCTTGACTATGTTGACTTGCTCCTACTTCACGCCCCGTACTATTTCCAAGGCCGATTGAAGGAGGCATGGAAAGAAATGGAGGAGGTACAGGAGGAGGGACTCACGAGATCTATCGGTGTCTCCAACTTCGACGTTGAGGACTTCGAGCAATTTTTGCCAGAGGCTCGAGTCAAACCCGCAGTCAACCAAGTGGGTTCCCGTCGTATTTGACCGTGGCTCAGAGATAGAGCTGACAATCAATCAGATCGAGTTCCATCCTTATATCCTCGGGCCCTTTGAGTCTGTGTTCCAGTATACGAACTCGCACGGTATTATTACCGAGTCGTATGGAGCGCTGGCACCCGTTACTCGGGAGCAAGGCGGGCCTCTGGACCCGATCTTGGAGAAGATTCGCAGTCGAGCTGGGGAAGTCTGGTGTAAGCCTGTCACCCCCGCACAAGTCCTCTTTAAGTGGCTCCTGCAGAAGGGTGTCGTGGTTGTAACGTGAGTCCAGAGAAGTTCTGTACGGATTAGCCCAGATGCTGATTATACATTCATGTATAGCACCTCGTCGAAGAAGGAACGCATGAGGGAATATTTAGACGTCCTCGACATGCCAGACCTGACTCCCGCAGAAATTGAGGAGATCGATGCAGCGGGAAAGACTAAGCAGCCAGACCCTGCTTTGCCTCTGGGAAGGTACAAGAGATATCTGGACATGGTGGTGAAGAGGTCCAAGGGAGACGCATGAGGGGTGATACGTACGATCTGGCATGTGGCCTGCACGAGTTTTGGTTCCGTAACCACTGCCAACCTGTGTTGCCTTAGTGCTACGAAGAAAGAGAATGAATCCTGTAGTAATGGCCTTTCAGTGCAAGTGGAGCCGAAACCATCGTTGTGTATACATATTACACAGCAGGCTGTAAGAGGAATGATTTCCAATTGCAGGAGGGCACCATAGTCAAACCTGCAATAACTGGGAGTATGAACGCTGTGGACTGGGACATAGAATATGGAACAGCGGATACCTTATGTTCCTGAGGCTCGTCATATGAAGTATGATTCGTGGTCTTTGTGGTCTCTGTTGACTGAGGTCTGCGACCATTTCTGGTGTGCAGGTCGACATGTGCCTCGAGCCCTTGAATTGCATGCCTTTCAACTAGAGGCGCGTCGGCATCGTGCCTAAAACCGGCATGGAGAAGGTCCCTTCCACCTTACGAGTGACCTTCTCTACGGCAAGCCGCAAGCCCACGAGGACTAGGATGGCGGTCGGGAATATACCCTTGATTTCTTCGTCGGACGGCGGAACTGAGATTCTTTGACAAGGAATTACTTACGACAACTTGGCCATTAATCGCGAAAAGTGTATGAGCCTGTCACGAGCGTCAGATTCGGCCTCGCCGAGGATATTGCGACATGGAATACCCGCGGGAATCTGGCCAAAGGAATCATCAGAGAGTGCTGTAAATATGACGGACAGGAAAAACAGTAACGAGTAGACAGCCCCGGATTCCAGGCTGTCTCGGTCACAGATGATGGTACAGAAACATTCACGCATTTAACTCACATTATCAACGTTACTCGGATGTGTTTCCTTCCTTCTATTTTGATCGATGAGTCACTGTATCCACGAGTCTGCCACCAAATCCTCGCGCCTGCATCAACGCGCCATGAGGACATTCAAGTGAGAACGCGCGTCTCCATAGACACACCGATGAGTATCGTCATGATTGAATTGACGATGAATGAGGCAGCCCAATATGCTGTGTTGGCATTGCTTGCAGTTCGGTTAAGCCTGTCCCACAGTGGCTCCGGTAAGGACTCCGTTGGCCTCATGTGGTACTGAATCTTCGTCATCATAACCCCTGTGACGAAAACCGCCATTCCACATGCTGCGGAGGACACTGGGGTCTACATATGATTAGAGAGAGAAGAGTCAGGCTAACCTGTTTCTGCCAAAAGGATAATGGCGGGTAGGGCCACAATTGAGCTTCGGTGCTCCCATATCTTATAGCATCTCCATATCTGATAAGCGTGGGGAAGTTGTCGTCGATATCACTGGCACTCGTAGCTAGAACCCACAGGCAGTCCATCTGCAATGAAGCTGCCACACGTAAGACCTGAACTCAGTGATGGATACGGACACTTACTTTGCAGTTGTATTTGACAAGTTATTGATATCCAGCAGGACGTTGCTCGTGTATGCTTCTTTCCACCGAGCCTCTGGATATCGAGTGACTCGGAATTCTCTGTAGCAAACTTGACGAGAATAATGCAGGTCGACTGGGCGGTGCAAAGTATGAAAAGGATGATATTGATGGCAAGCAGCCGCGTGTGCTGAAGCTCGTAACGTCGAAGCAAGAACATGTACGAGCTCGCAAGGAATCGCATGGCGTCCGCGCCTGTAGCGTTTTGATTTACGCTGGCGAGTGTCGGAGAGGGTTATTAGACTCGCCGTAGAGTAAAGTGGCGAGTTGTGTCCATCGAGAGTTGTGAGCAAAGACTGACTGCTAGCGGCGGTGCCTCGCCTGGACGCACCAATGCCTGAAGGATTCAGAGACACCACTGCAAGGAGCTCCTTGAGCGGCGATCTTGGAGGTGTGGTATTCGCATACCTGGCTGGTTGACAGGCTGGACATATGTTTCAAGGGAGGATACCGCTACTGTACATGAGTCAGGCTTCAAAGACTAGGAATCCTACGCGAGTCAATCTCTATGAATGAGATATATACCTTCACTGCCGTCGGGCGAAAGCTTTCCGGCCCTATTCATGACGGTATGATCTAGATTACGACAGGAGCCGACAGGGACGGAGGTGCGAAGGTTCAAACCCTATACCCGATATCGAGCGGAGGGTCAATAATTTAGATGCCCTCATTGTAGCTGAAAGCATGGGACTCTGGAAGATGCACTCGTATGCATACGTACCAGTGGTTGCAACCGTCCCAATTAAACCGACATGCGATAATCGTATACTTCCGCATGTAGGCAAGCAGTTTCTGTGGCGCTCTGAAGGGGGACGTCCGTTATACCTCCACCCATCATGATATCGCATGACTTGTGCTATTCCAAGGCCGTACTCTTCCCCTGCATTGCGGGGCTTGGTGATCAATGCCACTGCGCCGCATATGATGAGCGGACTTACCTTGTGAGCGAAGCTGTATCGCTCTCCATATGCATACGATGGAGTGCCGAGTGGGCTAGTGTTCGTTCCTGCCACCTGGGTGCTGTCGAACAATCTCTTACCAGATACTTGTGCCAGGCCACGAGAACGGAGACCACACCTGCTGGCAAAATTGCTGACAGTGAAATGAGGAGCGGCATTTCCTTCGTTAGTGACCCCGCGTTTGGACTTCAATGGTCCGTCGTGAAGTCCGGCGGTAAGCTCAGAATACCGATAGTGGGTGCCTAAGCCTCTATGGCAAAGCTGACATGTATAGAGCTATTATGTGATCGATCCTTGATATCCAGTTGTGGTGCGTGAGCTATGCCCCTTCATAAGAAGTGTAAGCTTGCCTTATGTTTTACTGCAATTCGTCCAGGACATTACGGTACCAGAACCCGAGATTCAGAGGCATTTCGTCCGTGCAAGCGCACTTCGTGTACGTCAGCAGAAGTCTACACTTGACGCTACCTTCACAAACATATGTCGGATCTTCCTCCACTTTTCCTTCTGCACCATACTTTCATTGAGGGGGTTCTGCAAAATTTGCAGAACCCCCTCACCCCCTTATATCTCATTCCACACTCAACCAAAAAATGTTGGGTAAGCTCAGGAAGGTATATATACACTAGAATAGACCCTCTGCCAAGTCAGAATGGGAATATTTGCTGTGGTTGAAGAGAGGGAGAGAAAACGGGTCCTGTAGGCCATGGGAAAGAAACAGTGTCCACTAGATCTCTCGTGATGCTCTCAACGGACTGCAGCGGAATGGCTTGGGATATCATGAATATGCCGTCTACAGTACAATACACCAGCCCGATAGAGCAAATAACCAGCGTGTCGAGATAGAGAGGCAATTTTGCACATCTCCCGGGCCCATATCGTGACAAAAGCGTGACATCGCTCGCGGCGAGATCCCACTGTGACCGCATGTGACGCCTTTTTGCAGAACCCCCTACATGAACCGGCATCTCTCTCCTACGTTCCACAGGCTGCATAAAAATGCACAAAAATAATGAGGACGTTCATCACTACGTTACACACAATATGCGGAAGATCCGATAAGAATCCGTCAAGTGTGTGGAATGCTACAGGCCGAATTCGATACTTTTTGCAGAACCCCCTCAATAATAGTAGACGAAGTAAAATAATCTTACATTCCTGCATTGGCCGGGAATCGAACCCGGCGCTGGGCCACCTTACGTAATCTGGGATCACGCCATGGGAAGACCCAATGTTACCACTACACCACCAATGCCCATGGAGGACTCAAAAGTATAAAATATACTTATCTTAGTTATTCTCCCTCACCGCCACTTGTCACGCTCACGTGTATGGTGTTTATGGCGTCCATCCCGAACGCGTTCGCGCTGCAAACCCCAAGGTCCCACAACAGTGCAGCCACGAACTGGTCGCCAGAAGCCTGCATACCCAGTCAAGTCGGAATATTGGTCGGCATGTCTGAGCCTTCTACTTCGCGTTCTTCTCCGTTTCTGGGTCCAAGTTCGAGCCTGCCTCCCACCTCTTCTGCTGTCAGCCCGATGGCCAGCACCCCGGATACATCTCCTCCGCCGGACATGCCTGAGGATGCGGGAAAAGCTGAAACGGAGGTAACTATGAGGCTCTATAGGTGTTGCCGTGACTCATTGTTACACGGCCAGAATGTGGACGGGAGGGCACCAGATATTGAAGACATGGTAGGAAACGCGTACACTGTCTTTCACTGGCAACTCACGGATGACCTGTTTGATGCCGCAGACTCTTGACGAACGTTACGCACGCTTGTCGTACTTGTTGGAAAAATCGGCCATATACTCTAGGTTGCTGAAGGAACGAATGGATATGGCCAAGACGCGCTTTTCTCGCGACTCCATGTCCGCGTCTCCTGCGCCTTCCTCTGTGAAGCACAAGGCTAAACCGGCAAAGCCGATCAAATTCAACCCGCGGAAGCGCCGTCTTGCAGTAGACAGCGATTCCGAACCCGAGGCGACCTCGAAGCGCACGAAGTTATCCGCTTCGCCCGCGGACGATGGCGAACAGGAGGAAACGTCTGCGGACAACCTTCCTCCGAAGTTTGTGCAACCCGAGCTTGTGACTGGGGCGACTCTAAAAGATTATCAACTCGAAGGGGTAGCATGGATGGTGGGACTCTTCGAGAATGGTATCAGCGGTATCTTAGGTGTGTGATTTTACTCCGCCCTTGTCTTGCATTCGCGACGGTGAAGAACTCATTGACCCCCGTTTGCTATGAATCAGCTGACGAAATGGGTTTGGGCAAGGTTCGTGTAAGTTGTAGCACATTTTAGTTGTACGCTTACAATCACCACGCAGACTCTACAAACAATAGCTTTCTCCGCCTATATACGCGAGAAAATCTCAGGCCCATTCCTTGTTGTCTGCCCGTTGAGTGTGCTACATAACTGGGTTTCTGAATACCAACGCTTTGCTCCCGGAGTGAGTATTCATCTGTGCTCTCCACCCTCTGTTTTCATCGACCAGTACCTGATGATTGCCGTAGATCCCGGTATGTATGTACCACGGCAACCCAGCCGAGCGCGCTGAGCTCCGTCGCACTGTGCTGGTCCCGCCGCCCAACGCGGACGCGCCCGACTTTTCGGTCAACGCAAAGGGAAAGCACCGCGCGAAAGCGGCCAAGCCTAAGGCGGCTGCGAAAGGTGCCAAGGGTAGGAAGGGAGGAAAGGCAAAAGCCAAAGCCAAAGCCGCTCCGCGTCGGTCGACGAGGGCCACCAGAAACCGCAAAGCGGCTGAGAGCGAAGATGAAGAGGATGAGGAGGAAGCGATACCTACCGATGACGAGGAGGAGAAGCCTGAGGAAAACCAGGAGGAACCACAGGCGGAGGTGGAGGAGAAACCCGAGAAGGAGGATCCGCCGGAGAAGGGCGAGTGGGGGGACTTCCCGGTCGTGGTCACGACGTACGAGATGCTTATAAAGGACCAGAAATACTTGAGCCAGTTCAAGTGGGGGTTCATCGTCGTGGACGAGGGGCAGAGGTTGAAGAACTTTGACTGCCGGTGAGTGCGCGATTACATTTCAGGGTTCTTGGCAGCATCTGATGATGATTTCGTACCTCAGGTTAATGCAGGAGATAAAGAGGTACGAGAGTGCGGGACGGATCGTCCTGTCTGGCACCCCGCTGCAAGTGAGCCATTCTCATGATCTCCGTCGGCCACGGCGCTTACGCTGCTCGTACTCGATAGAATAACCTGGCTGAGCTATGGTCACTGCTCAACTTCATCCTACCCGACTTCTTCAACGACCTAGATGTCTTCCAAGAGTGGTGAGCAGCCGTCATCTCATGATTCACCCGTGTTTGTCGAGGCGATAATACCTGTAGGTTCAATCTCGAGGCCCTACAAAACCAAATGGGGTCAGAGCGCGCACAGTCCATAATCGCCGACTTGCATGGCATCCTGAAGCCGTTCCTCCTGCGTCGGACGAAGGCCGACGTGGAGGTCGGGCTGAATCTCCCGCCGAAGAAGGAGTACGTGATCTACGTCGGGCTGAGCAAACGGCAGAAGGAGCTGTATGACGCGATCATCGACGGCGGGCTCCGACGGCTGCTCGTGCGCGAGAAGAATACGTCTAATGGGCTGGCCGAGCTCGATGAGGGCACGCTGAAGGAGGGCAGGCGGCTAAGGAGCGCGAAGGGTCAGGACGAGGGCGCGAAGGATAAGAAAGGGAAGAGGGGGAGGAAGGGGAAGGCGACGGAGAAGTTTGATATATTGGACGGGGATGATGATGAGTACTTCGAGCGGCTGGAGAGGGGGGAATTTGATGGTGAGCAATACACAGGGAAGGGCAAGAGCGTGGAGGAGCTGGGGCGGGAGTGGCAGATGAAGTCTGCTCGTGAGTGTTCCCCCTCTTGAATCATCCCTTCGCTCACTGACATAACCACCGGATCTCAGTGCGCCAGGTGAACAACCTCCGACTCCAAAACATAATCATGCAACTCCGCAAAGCCTGCTCACACCCCTACCTCTTTGACTGGCCGCTCGACCCGCGCACGCACGCGCCGCTCGTGAACGCCGACCTCGTGCGCGCGAGCGGGAAGATGCAGCTCCTGCAGCGGCTGCTCGACGCGCTGTTCGCGCGCGGGCACAAGGCGCTCGTGTTCAGCCAGTTCACCACGATGCTCGACATCATGGAGGCGTGGGCGCGCGAGGAGAAGGGGTGGCAGCTGTGCAGGATTGATGGGTCCACGCCGCCGCAGGAGCGGCGGGACGAGATGGAGCGGTTCCAGAGTGGGGGAGAGGGACCGAACGCGCCGAGGTTGTTCCTTTTGAGCACACGCGCGGGGGGGCTGGGGATTAACCTTACTGCGGCGGATACGGTTATTTTCTACGACCAGGACTGGGTGAGTGGATTGGCTCGTTTTCTGCATTTGTGGTGGCTAAGAGTTTGTGTGATGTAGAACCCGCAGATGGATATTCAGGCGCAGGACCGCGCGCACCGCATCGGGCAGACGAAGCCCGTGCTCATCTTCCGGATGGTGACGCAAAACACGATCGAGACGCGCATCATGCAGCGCGCGTCGGCGAAGCGCCAGCTCGAGGCGCTCGTCATCGCCCGGGGCAAGTACAAGAACCCCGGCGTCGCGGCGCCCAAGAAGAAGATGAGCGCGACGATGACGGAGCTCGCGGCGGCGGCGGATATGCTCGCGCTGGGGGGCGAGGGGGAGGAGGTGGATGTCGCGGAGGGAGGGGGGATAAGTGACCGGGAGCTGGAGATGCTGCTCGATCGGAGGAGGGAGGTGTTTGAGGAACGTGGGAGCGGGTGGGATTCGAAGAACGGGAGGGAAGGGAAGGAGGGCGCGAGATTCGCGGTGTTCAGCGGGAGCGCGGAGGGCGGGAGCGAGGTGCTTGCGGGGATGCTTGGGGAGAGGGTGGAGTAGACTTCTTGGATTGGGCGGGGAGGATGTAGATGTAGTGTATATAATATGCTTGGGTTAATGGGTAATGGTGAGGGATTAGAGTACTGTAGATATATTGTGTCATTGTTGTATATATTGCGTAGCCGAGCGCCTCCGCGGGGATGCTATTGGATCTAGAAACTGTATGTCTGGTGTGAGCATGAGTTTTTGCCCAGGGTGGGGGTTTGCGATCCAGTAGGTGTACATTGGTTGGCTGGGATTGTAGGGATATGGGTTATATACAATAGCCGGCTGCACGAGATCAAGGCGTAGAGACTACATGGTGCTCTACTGGATGCAGAGTTCCACGCAATAGCCGTGGCGCTCGGCGAGTGTTGTGGGGGGGGGGGGCGGACTGGCGCACGGGTCTGCGCGTGCCCGACCTTGAGCAGGTCACTGATCGACCGTCGCACCCGCGTCTCCGAGCAAGACCTCGCGGAACATCTAGACCGTCACGAAGAGTACGTGGACGCACCGGGGGATACGTTTCGTAGCGGAGGACTGTCCGCTGGGTAGACTTCCACATCCTCCGCCTGCAGTGGTATCCGGCATGAGGACGACAAAGGGTAGAAAAAGAGGTGGTTGCCCCTATCCGTCTTGCCTTATTTCTCGGATAGATGTCGATAACGCCGAATAGTCCGGGGCACTTATTTCCTACTTGCGTTACAGAAGCAGTACCACTGTAGGAGGAGTGAAGCTCGTATTCTCCTCATCGCCCGACGCTCGTTGGCTGATGAGTGGGATACGAGGGTCACTCCTCAAAATTCTTGGTGCTAAAAAGGAGGCGTACAGCCGTTCTTGATTAGGCGTAATCCAGCTCCTAACAAACCTTCATGTCCGCACCGCCTTGCAAAGTACTATGAATTGTTTAGCAGCTGCTGCAAGTACTGTATCAAAAAGGCAGTGCTCACCTTCAAGTTGTCAATGTCATGAATTGAACGATGCCACCGCCAACGGCTCGGCAGTTGTTGTGGGGTTGCGATGAGTCGCATCCGGTTCGGCGTCGCCTCTGCTCGTTTCTTGTCCACCTCGAGGCTTGCAGCGTCCTCGAGTGGTCTTTATACCGCGCACAATATAAGGACTGGCAGCGAATCAGGCACACATGGGCGCTAATCATTAATCGTCGATCCCACACCGACGCTGGAGAAATTACCGCATTTGGGAAATTTCTCAACGTCCATACGCTCCACCGAGCAAATATCTTGGGATGGCCCATTCGTAAGATGAATCAACCTCGGTAGGGGCTTGCGGCGATGCGCTGGGTACGCTACCGATTCAACAAGCAGTTGCTATGCGACAGTAGCAGCGAGCAACGAGTTGTTTATTCACCTCGTGCCAGGCACCGTAAACTGGACGCCCGTTTGAGGATGATCCGGGGCAAACCCTGTACGAGCGCCTTTCTTTTGACAGCGACAGACGTGCCCTTGGCGCGCGCCTGTCCTGCCTTGTAATAAAAGCCCATCGCCGTCGCCGTTCCCCAGCGACGCTTGTCTCTCTTTTCCTGACCCGCCGCAATTGCAACATGCACGCCGTCGCTTTCGCATTCGCCGCGCTCGCTGCTGCTGCCTCCAGCGCAGCCTCCTCCGTCCCCCTCGCCGCCCGCCAGCTCGACCCGTCCACGTTCCCCGCTGCCTGCCAGTCGACGTGCAACGGCGTCCTCGGCACCATCAACGTGCGCGCCCTCCGCTTTCCCTGATATGTTTTATATTAACAACGAATGCGGTCGTAACAGGCCTGCACAGACGTAGCGTGCATGTGCACCACGTCGAACGACCAGGCGCTCGCCGCGTGCGTCGACTGCATCCTCGGCTCCGACGGGACGACGCCCCAGCCGTCGCTCGTCGCCCAGGCGCAGTCCATCCTCGACAGTGCGTCGTTCCCGCCCTTTCAGCTAATACGCGCGCTCACGAACCACACAGACTTCCAGAACACCTGCGCACAGGGCGGCGCCTCTGTCCCCGCGCTCACCGTGCGTCCCTCCCTCTGTCCTCGCCTTCCTCCTCTACTAAACCCCACCTGCAGGCCTCCCCCTCCTACCTCTCCGGCACCGCCACCACCGCCCCCGCGCCCTCCTCCCCTTCCATCACCTTCTCCTCCGCCTCCGCACCCGTCACCCGCACCCCTACCACCCCCACCACGTCGCAGCAAATCACCTTCGTCGGTTCGAACTCAAACTCCAACGCCCCGGGCACGGGCACGGCCGCGGCGGCGTCCGCCTCGACCACGGATCCGTTCGCGAAGAGCGGCGCCTCGCGGTCGGGGACAGGGGCGATTGGGATGGGGGTGGTGGTTCTTGGGGGGTTGGCTGTCTTGCTTTAGTTATGGGTCTCCGGGTTTGGTGAGGGGTGAATGAGTATTTATGAGCGACTGTGATCTGGTACTGATATATCCGTTCGTTCGTTGTATACCTCCGTCTGGGTGTCTTACATATTGCCTGGGTAATGCACTGTCCTTCCTCGTCACCTCAGGCTCTCGCTGAGAAGAGGGTAAACACGAGTTACATCATCTGTATCAGCCAAGTGCCGTCGGTGGGTGCCTTTGTGTCCTCTTTTTTGGATAAGTGTAGGCTCCTCGGCGATTGACAATGGGTCAGCCCCGGTTCGCCGCTATAGCGGGTGGTTCAGAACCACCCGGACCGGGTGGGTGCTGTCGCAGGCTGTTTTCCCCGGCCATCGTAGGTTAACTTCAGACAAAAGGTACGTCTGACAACCCTCCGCATCGTTCTGACGATCCTCCGAGTCGCAAGCTCAACCCACCGCTTGACCAACATAGCGGGCGTTTCCCACTGTCCCAACCCATCCAGCCGTCGAGCCTAAACCACCCTTTGCAGACTCGACGAGTGGACGAGCTGGCTCCGTGACCGTTCGTCCTTTGCTGACCCGCATAGTACCTGAGCCACAAAGCGTGAAGCAGGACCTGTGCCATTGCTCCGCCCGGTGGGCACGCAAGCGAGTCGCAAGTGAGTCCTCCCATTCCCCGGCAATACGCACACCACAGGATGAGGCCCTGACGCCTGATCAGGGGTGGGGGCTGTCCCCTCCCTGGTGCAGGTGTTACGATCTGACAAGTGCTCCCGTACCGCGGACCGTGTCGGTACCCGTCATCGCCGTATATCTACTCACACACTGATAGTCCTGCCCGGAACTCTTGGGCAGTGGGCGAGACGTCCGACCTGCCAGTGAATAGACCATTGTACCTACTGGGACCTTAGAGTTAATCTCTGCCCGTGCATCCTTCCTGCTGAAGCGTCTGGATCCCGAGGCCATGCTAGTCTCCGTTCGCTCGGCCCGGTATATATTAACACATAATGATACAAAAGAATCTCTCACAACCAACAATATTAATCCGGGCGCTCTCTTAGACCTCGACACCCCGCTCCTCCTGCGGGCTCACCATCACCTTCTGCTTCGCGAGCGACGCGCGCACGGGGTGCTTCTCCTTGAAGATCGCCTCCATCTCCTCGATGTTCCGCCCCTTCGTCTCCACGAAGAACACGTAAATCACCAGGATGCCCACCGCGTCCACGACGAGGTACAGGAAGTAGAACCTGCCACATACTCAATCAGCATTCCCTGAACCGGCTCGCTCAGACTTACCTCCAGCTATCATTATCAATCCCCACCGGCGCGGCGTACGTATTAATAAACGTCACAATATTCTGGAACAGGCCATACATCCCGAGGCCCTTCGCGCGCGCATTGTACGCGAGCACCTCCGTCGGGTACAGGCACTGGCACGGCGTCCACGCGAACGCGAAGCTCACGAGGAACACGTAGATGAACGCGATGCCGAGGATCCCGATGCCGGGGTGCCCCGCCTGTGTGGCCGTCGCGCCGATGATGACCGCGACGGAGATGGTCATGAAGAGCGAGGAGACCATGAGCAGCTTGCGCCGGCCGAAGCGGTCGATGAATTGGATGCCGGCGAGCGAGCTGGGCAGGGGAGGTGTGAGGGGAGGGGAAAGGGGGAGGGAGGGAGGGGGCGGCGTACCTGGCCATCATTACGGGGGTTTGAATCGCGTTGAGCAGGAGTTGGATCTGCTCAGAGGCGATCCCCGCGGTTTGTACCATCAGCGGGAAGTAGTAACCTACACATTCAATCAGTTTTCTGCACCCACGAGGACACCGAAAAGCCCTTACTCGTCGGCGGCAAATCCAGCTGCCCAAAGAACGCAATACACCCCACTAAAAACGAGCGATACCTCGCCTCTCTTGAATTAAACAGCTCTCTATAATCCCACCATCTTTTATCGCTCCCGCCCGTATTGATCACCTCCCGCATCTCGTCCATCTCGAGCCGCACGACCTCGCTGTCCGGATTGCCGTTCCCGTGGTACTTGACGAGAATCGCGCGCGCCTTGTCCGGCTCGCCGCGGGAGATGTACCAACGCGGCGACTCGGGGATGAAGTACACGAAGGTAAGGACGACGAGCGCGGGGAGCGCCTGAATAGCCATGGGTAGTCGCCAGTTAATGGTGGACGTCCCACCGTAGTACGACAGCCCGAACTCGAGCCAGGTAGAGATGATCGTGCCTGGGTGAGTGGTGGCTTCAGGTTCACAGAGCAACCTTATGGAGCGTTCACTGGCTTACCTAGGAAGAAACACACCTGATACATCCCGCCCATTATACCCCTGTACGCAGGGTGCGCCATCTCGATGGTGTACGCCTGCCCTGCGGGGCCGAGCAGGACGGCACCGACGCCGAGTGTCACGCGCCCAGCGATGATGTGTGCCTCTTTCTGCGCCGCCGTCTGCAGGATCGCGCCGATCAGGGAGACGACTGAGCCCGTGAACATGCCGAAGCGACGACCGTAGCGGTCCGCGTTGGGCCCCGCGACGAAGGAGCCTACAACATTGCCTGTATATTTCGAAACAATCTCAGTCATACTTGTTCAGGTAGAAAGGGATGAAGAATCATGTTACCCATGACATAGATGGCAGCCAGGAACCCCTGCGTCGTCCCCTGGTCGACGCCGAACTGCTTCTTGAAGTTCGGCATCGCGCTCACCCCGCCGAACGTGTTCGCGTCGAACCCGTTCTGCGCGGAGCACTGGTACGCGACGAACAGGACGGCCCAAAGCTTGAGCATCTGGAACGAGTACACGGACGGGCGCTCGGCGAGGAGCGCCGCGGCGAGCCGAGAGGATTTCAGCACTTCTGCTGTTTCTGGTTCTCCTCCTTCGGGGGCTGAGTCGTTGAGGGATCCCGCTTTCTCGATGCTGATAGGCGTGAGGGGGGAGTTGCTCGATGTGCGGAGGACCCCCGGCAGTTCGTTCTCGAGCTGGTACAGGGACAGCTGCCCCTTCTCGTCGGTATGACTAGCCATGACCAGTGGGTGGGGGATAGCGCCTCTTGAAACAGTTAGGAGATTGGATACGCTAGAATTCCTGGTTGATAGCGGGTCCCACTGGGAAGAAGATCATTCCAGAGAGCGGATATTGCCATCGCGTGTGTATAAGCCCTGGTTATAAAGAGATTACCTATCCGAGGCCACAGTATACGAGATTGCTCCCCGTCGGCAGCCCCGTTTTGACGTGCATTCCGTAGACAGGTTTGCGAACTCCACTACCCGGGTGGGTCGAATGATGGTAAATCGGTACACGTGAGTAGCAAGAACGCAGACGTGGGGTCACAAGAGCGTTGTGGTGTTTTCCTCGCCGAGTTTAATGCGGGCCTGCAGGTGAAAAGGACGGGGATACGTATAGAGCAGGCACAGGAAGACCTCCAGACGGGTGTTCCTTCTTCCAAGCTGCGTGGCTCGGGTCATGGTGCTTGTAGTCCAGAAGCAAAAGCAATACAAAGGCCTCGGAAGTACCAAGATAACCAGAGATATGCGGTGACTGATGCAAAGTTTCAGGTGATGAAATACCAGGTTCATAGACGTAGTGTTGTCCAAGATACCGAACTTTTGTCCGGATTATCACGAGTTCCTCCAGGTGCGTAGAGAAAGGAGCTTGCAGAACATTCTTGTTGACGGCAGTTATTCGGCGCAGGGGAGTTAGCAGGCCCAGCAGTCCGAAGTTTCTCCTCCCCAGGCGTCCACAATCCGTCGATTGGCAGTAGCACTGCAGAGAGCAAGAAGGGAGGAACAACGGGACATCATCTGACAATTCTAAAAATAGCTTGCAGCGACACTACCTCCAGGAAGGAAAGGCCATATTGCGCGGTCCGAGCCCCGGTACATCTATAGAGTTTTCCAAGGTCTGCAAGGATAACTGCAGCAACAGAACCATAACGTAGAGAGGTCGTCCGTAGCGGAAACAGATTACATTTGAAGAGCCGAAGGAATCCACTAGGCAGGACCTAATGAGCCGGGGTTTATCTTCATCCATGCAGATATCATAGCGTTCGCTGCTCTTCATTCCGGTTTATCGCAAGTCCTTGAGAATGAATCGAGTTCGCCCTCGCGACAATGATTTGTATTGGCGCATATTGGCGATAAACGCAAGAAAGTAGCACAGCATGAGAGACAGCAAGGGCATCATAGAGCCTCCGTAACCAGACAGCCTGACGAGCCCGTCATCAGCTGAGAACTGCAGCTCTTGAGTAGTAGCTTGAACGGTTCATCTTCATTCGTCGACCTCGATTCGCCGAATAACCCAACGAGTAGAAGGCATGATTATGCTTTTGTAATTCGAGATAGCGCTCCGCCGTTCTGTTTCGCAGGCCTATCAACGGTTCAGGATACAGCTGTGAGAGGCTGCAGCTGGGCAGTGGGGCTCGGATACGCGTGACAGACGCGTCAAGCTCTGGTCACGTGCAAAGAGTGACTTGCTGAGCGCGTCTCGTGTTAGTCACGCTCGCTTCAGACGCGTAATCATGCCGCCACAACGCGCCGTCTTCCACTGCGTAACATACGCCTCGTAAGAGGTCCTGCCGTGTCGCTGACATAGCACGCAACACTAGAGGCTTGTCGGACTCAGCAACGCCATTCAAGTAGAAAGGCAAGCTCTATTGCGAGGATCTGACTAAGACTGCCCGATAGACCGGGAGCGTCTTGTAATAAGAACCGTGTGCTGGGGTGATACTGGGGTCATAGCACTCTGTTCAACATGATGAGCGTCAGACCCATCTTAGTTGTCGCGGGTGTAGGGAACGCTGCAGGTAAGTTTATCGGCTCTTAGCCTTCTCTTATATCCTGCGTTGTCTTACACACCTGATTTCTACTACTTACTTAGGCACGGGAGCTGCTACTGCGTACGTGGTCTCAATTACTCCGTTACAGCTGTCTTCACCTCGCCAAATACTAATCCACATGTAGGCGGGTATTCTCCAAGGCTGGCTACCGTGTCGCCCTGCTCGCTCGCAACGCAGACAGCCTCAACAACCTTGCATCCCAGCTGACCAAAGCAGGCGGAGAGGCTCACCCGTTTGCTCTGTCATCTTACGCACCTCAGGCTATCCGCGATGCCTTCGCCTCTATCCGGAAACAATGGCCCAAAGAGCAGGGCAACGAGATCCGAGCAGCCCTTTGGAATACAGCTGCCGCGGTGTGGAAGCCATTCCTAGAAGTCACAGACGAGGAAGTCAAGGAGAGCCTCGATGTGAACGTTGCGGCCGCGTTTGCGTTCTCGAGAGAGGCAATCCTGGAATTCAAGAATAATGATCTAAACGATTTGGGTAAAGTAAGTCGTGATATATCACCAGCCTCTTCTCGAGTATCATGAGCCATCATAGCGAGGAACCCTCATCTTCACCGGAGCTACGGCGTCCACTCGGGGAAACGTGACTACTTCCGCATTCGCAGTCGGCAAGTTCGGACTGCGCGCTCTATCACAGAGTCTTGCCAAGGAATTTGGTAAAGAGAATATCCATGTAAGCACCGGGAGCATGATGCACTCCCTCCTTCTTTACTGATGTGCGGCGTATCATACCTCACAGGTAGCCCATGTAAGGAAATGATGCTTCACCCCGTCATCTGCCTTCTGACGCTCAGCACTCATCCAAACCAGGCAATTATCGACGGTCGTGAGTGCTTCTGTGTCACCTCTCGAAAGAAAAGAGTGCTCACGATCTATCCGGCGCCTAGCCATCCTAACGGATCGCCAGCGAGCACGGCATGACGCGACCTGGGAGGCGGACGAGAACGTCCGGCTCGATCCCGAGAGCATCGCCAAGGTATGTGGATCCCTCACCCTTCAAGCTTCAGTATCCGGTGTTAACAGCTGCTTTTAGTCCTACCTCTACCTGGCGAATCAGGATCGCAGTGCGCTCACTTGGGAGCTGGACCGTAAGTCCGCCATAGCGATTTGTTGCGGGATTCGCTGACCCGTGATCTATCTGTGTGGGGTCGTAGTCCGTCCAGCGCATGAGAAGTGGTAGGCGGGGGTTAGGGCCAAGGTGCCGGCGGCGGTGGGATGGCTGTGAGTATCATCAACCAAAGATATGATTTGAGCTGGGTGCGATATCAAGTCTGGGAACCTCGTGTGTTGGGTGGTGAACAAAACCAATGTGTATGTAAGAATAGGAAGATTTCGGTGCCCATCGCGCTTGATACCTCCAAATAGCTATCATCCACAAACCCCCCCAAAGGCCAACCCAGACGTCATTCCAGGACTTTGCAGGATCGAGATTTCGCTTGTGCAAGTGCATTGCATTTTTGACTTCCGACTCTGAGGTGACAGCGGGCGCTAAGATGCAGATCCACAGTTTGGAGCGCCCGCCGGCTTCGCAGTAAGAGCCCGCCGTCAAACGAACCGGTTCGCGTCCTTATGGTACAGCTTCCGAACTTGACCTTGCAGTGAAAGCCTGAGAGCCGCCACATGCTCCCGGCAAGTTATACATTTATAATACATTGTGAGTACGTGCCTGCATGGTTGGGCGAGGAAGGAAGGTCCATGGAGGTCCCCACCTTCCACGAACATGTGCGAGACACCCAGGTGGCAGTATTATGACACAGGACGCCGTAACAACGTCCACAAATGCACAAAATCGAATATGCCAACACGAAAGGGAAGCCCCCACAGCGGGAAACCTCAATCCCATGCCGCGGCGACCCGCCCTTTCGAGAAAATCCACTACGCCTTACGCTGGAGTCCCCTCCATTAAAGCCTTTGTTCAACGTTAATCTCCGACGAGCCCGCCCTCGGATCTCCGAGTCGCGCCCGGCACCGGTGCGCAAGCCAAGTCCGCCAGCTGGAATGCCCGTTTCGCAAGGCGGGAGGCGGGTGTAAGTCGAACTATGTACATACATAGGCAAGCCGGAGAATGTAAAGCGTCCACCGGGGTGTACGTCAAGATCCGTCCCAGTGAAGGCGTCGCGGTTGACACTGGCACTGGCAGTGGGTGATGGTAGACGTAGATCCAGCTGCGAAGGACTCCGAGAAGCTTCCGACGCCCGACGGTGCAGATATGTCGCACGAGTGATTCCCGTCCAAGAAGGAGGGTGTGGAGTTCTGGTCCGCGATGTGAGAGGCTCGCAAACCGATTAGCTCTGCGATCGACGGAGCACTGGCAATGTCTGATACTTCGAATGACTGCTAGATAAATGAGTGAATACAGCCAACAGGATCGGCCATGGGATCGAGGATCATAGCGTGAAACAGTCGGTCTAGAAGAGAAATCTGACGGAGATGCGTGGCCTTTTAGTGGCTCAAAGTCTTCCGGTAAAGACTATGCGCGGGGGAACGGGAGGTTAGAACCAAACTGATAGGATATCGTACAGGGTCCAGTCGACCCGTGCGTGCGGATATGCGCATGCATCACCGCCCGATATCGTAAGAATTTCTACTGGGTGATGGTACCTCAGCCAGAGGGTACTGCTGCGTATCGATGTCGAAATGTACTTCCTCTGAGATAACCTATCTACATTGCGGTAGTCGAGAACGGTCAATTACCACCCCAAGTCTAATCGTCAGTCGAACCCCCACTACCGTCGCGCTCACATATAAACTTAGTGATGCCTATACGGCGCGAGGGGAAGCCCGTCCGCTCCTTTGCTGGAGAGAAGACGCACCGCCACTGAGCATCGCAAGAAGTCCGGTGTAGGGGAAGATCAGGTTAGGGACGTATATAGTAGGTCGAGGAGCTGGAGGCGGTAGAGATAAGGAGGGCTTCACGTAATTCTCCAGACAAGCGTCGCGAGGTGCGGTGGTCGCAGGAGCCTGGGTCGAAATCGGAATGGGCCGTCAGGCGTGGATTCAACCTGTGTGGGACTCGCGACTATGTGTAGATGGGAGTTGCGGGGGCAAGTTCTTTTATGAACGGCGCAGACTATGTCGAAACACGGCTCCTGCCGTTTACTCGAGCGGGAAGTCGCAACAACTTCGGTGAGGACCGTTCTGTAGCGTGAAACACCCATCAGCGTCGACCGCAAACCTGGAACACCTACGGCTGTCCCCGTTCTCGGAGGAAGTGTTACTGGGCGCGCTCGATGGATAGCAGTTGCGGTATTTGCTTCGGGTGCTTCTAGGGCGGGTTACGACCCTAGGCAAAGGATACCCTGGGAGGAAATGGCCTGTGATGCCACTTTGCGATCATACTCAACGCACCTGTAGATGGCAATTGCACCTCCTTGGATATCGCAGTATTATGGGCGGCGTTCCCAAAGCACCTGGTCTAAGATCATGGAACTCGGTGCCACAGGGTCCATGATCTCCACATGGCCAATCAAAGCTTTTCAAACCAAAAAGCATAAAATCAGGTCTTACTGTCCTCAGTGATACGTACCTGTATGCAAATGTTGCACGGGTGAATTTCGCTGATTATGTGACCTCCCCGCCTGGCTCGATGGAACGCAGCGGCGCGAACATTGCCGTCTGCTTCCTCCTGTAGACATCGGGAAAAGCTGAATGAAGATCTGCTGCCACAAATTCGAATCCTGAGCGGTGTTCTTCCGTTTCGCGATGACGGCGAAACATGAGTGGCAGCGAACCGAGGACGCGCAGGTTGTTGATCATGATCTGAAGATCTGGCCACGCGAGAGCCACGAGGTGTCCTCCACGTGGAAGGGTTATTCTTGTCCAGGCGCTCTTGTCTTCTGTATTTACGGTGCCCGCATGAGCGGTCATGCAGCCGCCATCTCTCGACCACCACACGCTCGTCCCCTAGTCCCGTCTCAAATACATTCTCTTATCCGTCTGCTTGCTCGTCGGGTGCCACGACGGCGAGAAGTGCTACGAATCCAGCAATTGCACCGCTTGCACAGACTGCTGCCGGAGGGAAGGAAATTCCGGAGAGACTGATTTGGGCTGGGTGCTGTGGGGAATCTCTTGATGGCCGATTCAGCGTCTATGGCGTCGAACCGCACACCGCGAACTCCGACAGAAGGCGACAAGAGTATTCAAAGACCAGCGGGCGACGGCCAGTTCTATCTCTCACGGAGCAATCCTGCTGTTGAACCGGCCCATGCCACTCCTCCTCTAGACGGCCCCTCCGCGCTGCTCGGGTTATCTGAACACCCTCATTCGAGCCACCGCACGGCTGACACAGCGTCTTATAACGCCCCGGCCTGGTCGCGCCAGTCGCCTTCGTCCACCTCAGACTCGTCAGGTCAGCCGCCGCGCTTCGTGTCTGTTCTTTGTGTGCTAAATGACGAAAACATACCGCACAGCAGGGCAGATGATACCCCCGACGTCGTCATTCTACGACCCTGAACAGGCTGTTGCCCAGGACGCACCAGATTACCAGCAGTGGATTGATGCTTACAGCCAGGGACAGATGCAGTACCCAGGTAATGTGCCTAACCAGATGACCGCGGGCGGCTACCAGCACGGGCCGCCGCACGTTGGCGACGCCCTCCACCCGCCCATGCACCACCCGAGCTCGCAGCTGCAGGGCCAGTTCCATTTTGTGCAGAACCCCCACTATCCCACAAACCATTTCGACCAAGACCACCCTGCGTACCAGCCCCGAACTCAGCGAAGAATACCAGCGACGAGTGCCGTATCACGGGGCCATGGGGCACAACCGACGGGCAGTGCGGGCGACATGTCCGCTAGTGCCCTTCATGGGGCTATCTCATATCAGGATTATCAAGCGCCTAACCGCTCGCCGAACGAGCCCGCGTTTTATTATCCCTCGAACAACTTCGAGTATCCATCAGAGAGCCAACAGGCTCATTACCCCCACAGCCAGCCGCACAGCTCTTCAGAACCCATGTCCGCGTCGACCAATTACACGCCGTTGTCAAACTACGCAGAGCTGCACCAGTCGTCGGTGTCACCCCCTGGGGCCGCCTGGCAGGATGACAGCGGGCAATCGGCGCATCCTGCGCACACCGCACAGAGCGTACCTGCACCATCGCCGTCTTCTCTCGGAGGATCCTTTGCCCGATCACACCAGCCGGCTCAGATAAATAGCAGTGCTGGTGGACCGGCTCAGCGCCTTGTCGTCAATACTGAGGGCGCAAAAGCAGCACTTGCGACAGGCAAGCGGCCACGCGGCGCTGCCCCCGCAGCGGCCGGTGGTCGAGGCCGGAAGCGCACTCGCAAAGATGGCGGCGAAGGTGGCGGCGACAGCGACAGCTCGAGCGACGACGATATTGGTGGCGGTGCTGGACGCGCCATGGGGAGACAAAGTCGACTGTGAGTGTTTGTTCTGAAGTTTATCTCAACCCTCTTCACCCCACTTGTGTTTCTTTCATTTTCTGTCGAGTTCATTTTCCGGATCTCAGAGGGGCTGGTCACTGTTTCTTTTCTTTCCCCCACTTTCAGATTTTTTTTACCGCGGACGCGACTGCGTCCGCAGTGACATTTGCCCAGTGTTCGATTGCGATGACCGCGGAGCACACTTGGGATCTGCAGTCGCGGGCCAGATCGGACAGTCTTGCAATCCATTCAGCAATGAATGATTGCAATTCACGGTCTCCCTGACGCCGCGCCGGTGCTCCGAGGTTTCTCAACCGAGTACTGGCTCTGTGCGCCTGGTCAGCACTCACCCAGTGGGATCGCGAGCTCGTGTTTGCAGCTTGTCGCTCTAACTCCTAGCCTCGTGCCCATATTCGGTTCATCCCACGGATTCCCAGCCAGGGGACTCGTAGAGGGCTTTGAACTTGCATGAGCTAAAGTGTATGCATGGCTCTGGGCTTGTGCCCAGTCAGGAACTGGGTGCACAAATAGGGGCGCGGGGCGCCTTTCGCCTGCCTCGTTTTCTGATATGCGCTCCGAGCTCCTCTGCTGGTAGAATCTTCCGCTCGCCCATGGCCTGGCCGCTGATACATTCATGATCGCGAACACTGCCCTCGGTGCGCTTCCAGTCGGCGGGCTGCACAGCCACAGGCGCTTGGTAGCGTTGAGGCCCGGGGGTATGCTGGTACCGGGCGCAGCGTTCTCGCTTGTGTTCCTGTTCTCTTTCCGATTCGCTGTGGCCCCTTCCCCGTGGATTCGCTAACCATGCATTATCTTTGGAAATGTATAGGCCCGGCGCGTGCACGCACTGCAAGAAGCTGAAGGTATGGACCGCGTCGTGTCGTCATCAGCGTCTGGTACTCACATTTCCCCCAACCTTTCCTTTTCCGTGCTCCGGCGTCTCCTCCCACCTCCCATCTGACCGCATCTGGCACGCACTACGCGATGCTTGCCTCCGGCCCTTCTTTTTCGCCTGTGTCAACTGCGCCTCTTCGGCTGGGCTGCGATCGGCGCGCGCTAGATGAAATGCGACTTCCCGAAAAACGAGAATGTGTGCAAGAGATGCAAGGCCGGGGGGCATCAGTGCGTCGTGGAGGGCAGGAAGCCTAGAACAGCGCCCAAGTGAGTAGCCGTTGATATTGAATTCTGAATTCGCCGGAGATGGGGGTAGGAGATTGCGGCGTCCCTGGGTGACGCATTTAAGGATCGCTCGGCATACAGTGTGGCGGCGCAAGTGCCGCCTCACCAGATGTCGTCGTCCACCGAACGTCCTTCATCTCCTACGCCTTCCGATTCTTCTCTCTCGTGTGCATCGGATGGGAGCTCATCATCGTTCGCTTTGGTTTACAGTAAGCGGGAATACCTCCTGGCTCAGATCCGCCAGAAGGATGCGATCATCGAGTCGCTGCTCAAGCAGGTCGGTGATACATCTCGCGCTCTATCTTATGTGGGATAGTGCCTCGAAACTAACACTTCCTTCTCAGCTCCATAACCCATACTTGGCGACACCCTTATCCATTGCTTCCTACCGGATGGCCACATCCCCGTCGGACAAGAACAACCAAGATGTCATCGCTTGGTTGGACCGCCTCCAGGAATCCGTCCGCACTGCCGGTGGCAAGGGCGGCCCTACTGCGTTCAGCCTTTCCTCGCGTGAGAAGGAAAGGGGCGACGAACAGGGCTCTGAGTCGGAAGAAGAGCACGAGCAGAGTCAGAAGACTGAGCAAGACGAGGATGATGACGACACGACTGGACCCCCGACGCTCCCTGACGCAGCTGTCCCTCTCGGCCTCATCGCGAACCTTAGTCTTAGCAATACCACTAAGAAGACCAAGGGTAAGAACAAGGCTCAGATGACGGCCAAGGAACGGGAGGAGAGCCTTGATGATGACAACGTCGTATGTATACATTGCTGGCTGGGATAAGCCATTTGGATTTATGTCTAATGTCTCTAGGGTGTTGCGAACGAGACATACTTCATGCCTGGTCCCGCTAGCGACCTGAATATCCGCGCTAATCTCATTGAGCAACATAGTCCGCCAGAGATCCTGGTACATGGACTGGTCACGCCACAGGATGTGGAGAAACTATTTGACATGTAAGTGTTATCGATGCACTAGTGAACCGAATAACCAGACTTACTTCGTGGCCGCTAGCTACTTCACAAAGATTAATGTAGACTTCCGGTCATTTAACATACATGTGTTTCTGACTAACGATCCCAATTTAGCCTTTCTTGTCGCTCCTCAACCCTATCTTACACACTCCGAGCACGACTTTCGCGAGGTGTCCTTTCTTGTTCACAGTCAGTAAGTGACCATTCGGCATGTGTTGTGCAGATGGACTCTGATCATAAAACCCGTGTAGTCTGCGCCATCTCGTCCCGATTCTATCCCGAGAAGTCTGAGATATACGCAATCGCTATGCACTTTGCGAAAAGCGAGGCTGCAAATGCATTAATCAATGGATGGAAGTCCGTCGAACTGTGCCAAGCATACCTGCTCATGAGCTATTATGCCGTCCCCGCAAAGCGGTGGGAAGAGGACCGCAGTTGGTTATATACGGGCTTGGCCATCAGGTAGGGAAGCTCGGAATGAGTATCGGTGTGATTGAGGGACTGACTAGCGCTTGTGGCTAGACTTGCCACGGATCTTAACTTGCACCAGGTGTCAACCGTCAAGTCCAATACCGAGAAGGCTGCACGTGAAGTCTTGAATCGTACCCGGACTTGGATGATATGCTTCAACCTCGACCGGTCGGTGGCTACACAGTTTGGAAAGCCCTCTACGATCAAGGAGGACTAGTACGTCACTGAATGGTTGTTATCCGGCGTAACTCAGTGTTGTTGTTTAGCATCACTCGACACTGTAAGGACTGGTACAAGTCATCTCCGTACAATGACAAGGTAGGCACTGTCGACATGGTATTGCAAGGTCTGACAATGCTCTAGTATGATATCCACATCTGCGCCTACTCGACTCTGCTGCGGATAGTCGCCGAGTTCCATGAGGCCATCTACTCTGACCCGGATTCACCAACCGGTCTCAACAAGGTAATCCAGGTGTATCTCCCTTTCTATCATTTCTGAATATTGTATCGTTAGAACATGGATTTCCGGGAAGTAACCCTCGAGCATGATCGTAAGTTAGAGGCTTTCCAGGACGAGTGGACTCGGAAATTCGATGAGGATTCAGATCCAAATGGTACGCCATCCTCCTTAATCGTCTTGCTTAATGGCCACTCAGACTGGGCTTCTAGACCCTGGTTGCTGTATTCGCGTTGCATTGGCGCCTTTGTGAGTCGGTCTTCTACATCATCGTGCTGGTGACTCATCGTTATCATAGCTTGGTGAACTACTCCCGACTTGTCATGTACTCGTTTGGATTTCAGCAGGCCTTTGAGAGAGGCATTGAACTTGCCGATCGACTGTTCTTCACCAAGGTAACTGCCTCTAGACACTGACGAAAGTAGAAACAGCCTCTTACATATGATCTCCCTAGTGCTTCGAGTCAGCGAAGAATGTAGTGAGGATTATGATCGAGGACCTCGCTCCAAGCGGATATATGAAGTACTCCCCGGACGGTAAATTTGTTTGCTCATGACTGTTGATACTTGATTGCTGAACGTTGCTGTAGGCTACTTCGTCTTTGCTGCCTTCGCGTCCGCATTCCTTCTCAAGGTACGTTTCCCATGCTCGATGCCTTATCATCAATTGTTTGATTTCTGCCTCTCAGTTATTGCGGCCGGAGTTCGCAAAGTTGTTGACGCCCGAGTCAGAGACACAAATATACGACTTGATCGCTCGCCTCATCCAAATTCAGAGCTCCCCTGAAATTGCCATTGATGACCGGCACACGCCCAAGCTTTATGCCCGTTTCTTAGCCGGTTTATTGCAGAAACATCGCCACGACGGAGCCACCAGCGGTCGTCTGCAGATCTTCCAGCCGCCATCTGGCAACGTCAGCACGTCTGCTGGGTTCGCTATTCCTCCGGGTTCCACGGCATCTAGCCAGGTATTCTCTGTTGCTCCTCCACAGGCGGGCTATCAGGACGTTGGACATACGAGGTCTGTGGCTGGTCGCGACGGCCGGCCACTGACGCCTGTCTACGAACCGGAGACGACCTACGCCCAAGCGACCGGCCCCATCGATCTGGGCGGGTTCCTCGACTCCTCAGACTTCGCTATGAGCGACTTGAATGGCGGCTTCGAGCAGGAGATGCTGGCGACTATGCGTGCCATCAAGAATCCGGCGTGGTGGGATAATATGATGATGCCAGGGTATTTGAACCACCGCGTTGCACTTGTCGGCTAATAATGTGACCTTTCGTTTGCGGTTTGCCTTTGGGTGCAGATTCTCCTGGACGAGCAACGCGCCGATGGCTCAGGCCAATGGCATCAATGGAGTCAACGGCATGATGGGCCATCCTGCCCAGAACGGGGACGCGATGCCCTACATGAACGGTATGAACCGCATGAATCTTGCTCCTGTACCTATTGGCTAGATTTTCTTCGACCCGTACAGCGTGAAGTTGGTCTTTGTGAAGCAGTTGTATTCTTGTAATTCTAGGTCATCGGGACCCCTGTTGTTGTCGCTCCTGCTCTAGCTTTGTCTGTCCATCGGCTAAAATACGTCTGTACTATTTGCTGTGCATTTCATAGAACAGGATCCATTGGAATTTATTGAAGAACTAAAACCGTTGTATGAGATGACTCAAATGTAGTAGCATGCATATGCTGAATTGACGTCGGTCCAGGATATTCTGCTGCCACAAGCCACTCACTTCCATTTCTCCTGTACTCTCTTCGCTGGCATCTTACTGCAATATTTATTTATTCCCCCTCAATCGATTGTCCTCGACAAGACCGGGACGTACGCTGTGCACTCTTGCAGGCGCAAATAGCTAGCGCTGTCCGACTGGGCCGCAGCACTCTCGTGGACAGGACCTTGGACAGGAATCATTAACGGGGCACTCGACCACGTACACAGCGGCAGGCTGCTTAGTTTCAGCAATGATGCTGAAAGGTCTATGGCTTCTCATTTGGGTGTCATTCGTTCATCTTGCTGGACTATATATCTTCATCCAGGGGTTTCTGCTTTCTCGCCTCGCACTTCCCGACACAACAGAGTGCATTGATGGCTCATGCACCATTCCTGCAACATACAAGAGAGCCGTAGTGTTAATAATTGATGGGTTACGGTATGATTTCATCGCGCCAGACCCTCCCCACCCCCCATCACCTTTCCACCACGATATCCTCACCCTACCTCGCGAACTCACGGCTGCCAACCGGGGCAAATCTTTCTTGTTCAATGCCTTCTCGGATCCCCCGACCACTACCCTACAACGTATAAAGGGTCTCACTACTGGCTCTTTGCCAACCTTCGTAGACATGGGCTCGAACTTTGGCGCATCCTCTATTCTAGAGGATTCAATCATACAACAGTTACGGGCGGCAGGGAAGAAGGCGAGTTCCGAGTCGTTCAATCTGCGAAAGAGATGATTTACGACGGCGCAGAGCTAGATCGCGTTCATGGGCGACGATACGTGGACTTCTGTCTTTCCGGACTCATTCGCACCTAACATGTCATTCCCGTACGATTCCTTCAATGTTGAAGATCTCCATACGGTAGACGAAGGCGTCATCCGACACCTATTCCCACTTCTTGATAGCCCGGATTCCTGGGACTTCATCATTGGTCACTTCCTTGGTGTAGACCATGTAGGCCATCGAATGGGGCCGGATCACCCTAACATGAAGGCGAAGCTGGCACAGATGAACGAGGTGCTTTCCCGTGCTGTGGATCGCTTAGACGAAGACACGCTTCTGGTTCTCCTGGGAGATCATGGAATGGATCGTAGGGGTGACCATGGAGGAGACGGGGGGCTGGAGACTTCCTCCGGTGTCTGGATATACAGCAAAGGTCCATATCTATCGGACCCTCGTGCATCACTACCCGCGCATTTGCTGGAAGTGCGGTCCTTCCCGGGAATGACTGCAGAACACCGCGGAATCCAGCAAATTGATCTCGTACCTTCCCTCACTCTCCTCTTGGGATTGCCCATTCCCTACAACAACCTTGGTACTGTCATACCTGAATTGTTCTGGCGAGACGGTACCGGCGGCTTATATGAACAAGCCCTGGAACTCAATGCCGCACAGATCAAGAGATACTTGGACACCTATCGCAACAGTTCTTCGGGGGGCGAACTGGATTCTGTCTGGGACGACCTACAGGACGAATGGGATTCCATAGGTGCCACTATAGATGACGAAAGACCAGTGGCGTTGAAGGACTTCTCGCGTTTAGCGTTAAGTACTTGCCGCTCACTGTGGGCACAGTTCAGTGTGTCCCTAATTGTTCTGGGACTGGCTCTGCTGGCCTTCGGTGTCGTTGCCCCTTGCGCTCTTTTCATCTGGCTTGGGCGCATCAAGGATGGCTGGGAAGAGCCTCTCGACCAGCTATTGATGGTCTGTCTCCGTGGGCTGGCTGGAGGTTGCGTAATGGGTGTCCTTACATATTTCGCGCTGAGTGGTATCCTACCAGAGATCGATGCTCTCAACTGGTCACTTTTCGATGCACCTCTAATGTCTTGCATTGCCGTTATCCTTTTCACCCGACCATCACCATCGTCCGCACTGTCTCTTCTCAAGGCCGTCCCAATACCACTTATCCTGCATACACTCTCATTCTTCTCCAACTCATTCATTCTCTGGGAAGATCACGTCGTCCTATACCTCCTCATCACCTCCTTGGTTCCGGTGGTTTTGACAGGATTCCGAGCGCCTACCTCGCGGCTCCGGCGCCGAATCATTGGTTTCTCCGCTCTATTCGCACTTTGCGTCCGGCTCATGGCAATCAGCACCGTCTGTCGCGAGGAACAGCACCCGTACTGCCATGTTACATTCTTTTCATCTGCCTCGCTGCCCGCACCCCCGACCCTGGTCTTGGCGCTAGCCATCCCGGTGTCGGTCGCGCTACCTTGGATTATCAGGCGGTTCCTTATAGTGTCGAAGTCTGACCATGGGCTAGCATCGCTGTTCTTGCCGTGGATGCTGCCCGCTGTCTTATTGGCGGGAAACGCCTATTGGCTATTGGAGTGGATTGATTCCGCCGGCACGCTGGGCAGCGAGTGGTCACCCCTCTTGCGCGGGATCAGGACGCTATTGGCCCGGAGTGCCATGGGCGGGGCTCTGGTTGGCGGGTTATCGCTCTGGTGGCTGATTCCGTTGTGCATCCGGATTGACTCCGAAGCAAAGAAGGGGCAATCAGGTGCTCAAACCAATGGTGAAGCCAAGAAAACACAAGTGACCGTACTGGGCTTTGCGAACGCCTTTGGGTCGCCGTATCTCATATTCTGGACCGTCTTTCTCGGCCTTCTATTCGTGGTGACGCAGCTGACAGGCCAAGTCGTTCTGTCATTGGCCACAGTTGCTTTGCTGGCATATCTGGAAGTGGTTGACAGTGTGCGCGATGCGAAAGGCCTGCAGGCTGCTTTTGCATCCGCCAAACCGTCCGTTGTGCTCGATCTGGAGAAGGTCAGCGCTCCGCTGGAGTTCTCGGACATGGTCCCGCTGTATCTATTGGCAATTCATACATTCCATGCTACCGGTCATCAGCACACTATTCCCTCCATCCAATGGAAGGCGGCCTTTGTGCTCAGTTCAACTATAATATACCCCTTTTCTCCGGGAACGGTTGCCCTGAACACGTTCGGGCCGCAGTTCCTGTTCTGTCTGGCGGCGCCCCTGCTGGCGCTGTGGAACTTTGCGCCTTTGCCTCAACCTGATGCCAGCAGAGTTGCGGTGAATAGCAGTGTCCGGACGTGTCTGGCCGTCATGGTGTGCTTCGGCACACTCCTTTTAGGCAGCTCTTTGAGCGCGGCGTGGCTGAGGAGACATCTGATGGTATGGAAGGTTTTTGCTCCAAGATTCATGAGCGCCGCGGCCCAGTTGGTGGCAGTCGATCTTGCGCTGCTGGTCGGATATGGTGTCGGCGTGCTCAGGAATGTGCGTCGAGTCACGGAAGTCTTTCGAGGGATGAGTTGATTTCATTAAACTTGGACCATGTGGACAGAAGGATGAGAAGCATCAAAAGTTATTGTATACTGCGATCTACGTAATAATAGAAGTAATTGCCAGGATTCCCTCCCGAGACTCCTTTTGTTGCGTGTATGACTCGATACGCGTTGTTTGGGCGTACGGCATTTACGTGCTGTGGACGGAGCGCGGCTGACACGCGCAGAACAAAAGCAATTTACGTCCTGTGACCGCGACTCATAAATCCCGTGCGCCTGCCGTCACAGCCGCCCCTTCTCCCCCTTCCTCCATCTCTCGCGCAACAATAACATTCTCCTCTAATTATCATGGCCCGTGTCTGATTATAATAGATTTCTCCTGTTTACGCCTCTCTGACACGACTATCAAGACTACTCAAGTTTCTCATATACTCAAGATGCCGCCCATGGCCAATAGTTTCCAGCTTCCCGACCTCAGGCTCTTCTGCCAGCCGTACTTCGAACTACGCGTCAATCCCCGGTGCAGGAATGCAACCTCGCTCTCCGAGCGGTGGATAATCGACAACGGCTTGATGCACCGCAATCAGAGAGCAGCACTCCGGGGAGCCAAGGCGGGCCTGCTTGCTGCCACATGCTATCCTACCTGCGACTTGGGGCAGCTACGGTTTATCACGGACTTCATGACCTTGCTGATGTTCTCGAAGAAGTCGATGCACTTGTCTGCTCAGTGAGTCGTGAATCATCCGCGTCAGCGTCGGATATTCATCTCTGACTCGGATGTTACAGACTATGGCAGAGGCTCTTGTATTTCCGGAATCCATACTGGCATGCTCGCTTCCAGGGACACTTGCATGGATTCCACGCGGCCCACAACCAGATGATCAGGGATAAAGAGCATGGTGCTGTGCCGGATCTCGAGTCCTACATTGAGCTCCGGCGGTATTCCTCCGGCCTGGAGATGGCATTTGACCTGATCGAGTACGCGGAGGGCCTGAAGCTACCGGAATACGTATTCGACGACCCTGTCATCCAAGAGCTCAGGCAGAACGCCATCGACATCGTGTCCTGGTCAACAGTACGTCTCCCCTCGTGCAGCGTTCTTGACTGCCACTGACAGATGTGAGCAGGACATATTTTCATATAGCGCAGACCAGGCACGCGGCGACAAGCACAATCTGGTGTCCATCCTCATGGAGGAGCGCCATCTCACGTTGCAGGGTGCCGTCATCTACGCCGGCAACCTCGTGAGGGACTACATCGAGACCTTCGTCGAGAACGAGCGGCTGTTGCCGTCATGGGGCGACGCCTCCATTGACGACGACGTCCGGACGTACGTGCGTGGCCTGCGGGACTGGATAGTGGGCTCCATCCACTGGGCATTCGAGACGGATCGCTATTTCGGACACGCCAGGGATGAGGTCCGCACTTTTGGCTGGGTGTTCCTCGCGTCCTCGTCGAAATCGAAAAACTAAACATACTCGGAAGGTGGAGAGGAGGGGAGGGAGCAAGCATCTTAGCGTCATTTATTGCTTCATATTCAAGATATCAGAGATCCTGCAGTGGTTCTCGTCGCACCTCGTTATTTGTCTTTGCTTTGACATAGGATAGGATTTCTAGACACACGGTCGACCCGCGCCCATCATTCCTAATCACATTCATGTATCCATAAGCATACCTCTCATCCTCAGCATAGCCCCGTAATTCCAATGTCATCGTACACTTCATCCCATTTCACAAGGTCCCATTGGAAGTATGTGATGAAAGATACACTGAGCATTTCACGAATACATCTTGAGATGGAACTGAATTCATATACACTACTTAGCCGAGCAGCATCTGCTCGATCCCCCTCTGCTCACCCCCTCCTACAGAATGAATAGCGCCAAACATCGTCGGGCTCTGGGGTATACCCCCACTCACATCCCGTTCACTCCAGCTCCTGCTCAGAATCTCCTCGACCTTGTGCAGCGCACCGTGCCTCGCTTTGTACCTCTCCACAGGTGAAGTCGGCCGTCGCAGAGCAGGCGTTGAATGGCCAGTAGGGCTCAGAACCTTCGCAGGCTTAGTGGGTGTCTTCGTCAGTCTGCCCCGATAGGGCGAGCGGCCTTCGGTGGATGGGAAAGGGAGGAGAGGTGCCTTCTTGGTAGTCTGCAGCTTTCTAGTAGGAGTATGGGTGGGCGAGCTGAAGTTGCAGTGCGCGGTGTACGCGCGAGAGGTCATGGCACCCTGCGAGGATGGGCTGCATACGGGGCTGCTGAAGAAGAGCTTGGATTCTAGAGGAGGGGACATGAGCACCGCAGGTGTCGGCGGGAGAACCGAGTCTACTCGGGCAAGCGTCCTCTTGCCGTTCCTCGTGGGCGTCCTATGCGGAGTCCTCCTCGACGGGGAAGGACTTGCCGCCCTTGACCGAGGAGTCTGCGGGCTCGATAACAGGCTGGCAGTCCTGGAGACTGGGGAAGCCATCCTTTCCCTCTTCGTGCGGACCGGGATAGGCGAGTAGTGGTCTCGCTCCTCCCTCGAAGAGCTCGACGAGACGCGGGAGGGCGTAGCAGCGAGTGCGAGCGTCTTGGATACCTCCAGCGCGATGTTCTTCAGGCTTATCCACGAGCCCTGACCTTCCTTCTCGCCGTCCTTTGCAGCCGGCGTCTCGGCAGTCGCTTGCAGCGGGACGTCTTCCCACCCTTCAGGGTCTTCCTGTACGATCCTGAAGCCGCCACCTGGAACCCATACAGTCGGGTCTCTCTCTTGACTGGGACTCTCGTCGATTGCCGAGGTATTCCCGCCAGTAGTCAACCTGTCCATCCTCGACGGCGTCTTCATCATATCGACCGTGAAGTCTGAATCCGCCCGTTTGTGCGCGTACCGCATACTTACGCTCCTCTGGCCCTTATCCCCGGCATGGCGCGGATCCTTCGCCAGCTCTGTCCTCGCTCGCCTCAAAGGACTCTCGACTTCGCCGTACTCTGGGCTCCGTACTAACGACCAGCCCTCCTCCAATTCAGGTGTGTTGGGCACTTTGCCCCGCCCAGTCTTCACTTCCTTGACCGTGGCCTTGCCGGAGCGGGTTCTGTGAATGCTGCCTCCGCCGATAATGCGTGAGAGAAGCGACCGGCGGATGGATTTCTGCCGCATGGAGTCGTAGGAGACGTTGACTTGCATCTCTTGCGTGTCTTCGGGGCTCAGGAGGGACAGCGAGTAAGGCGTGTCAGCCTGCGTAGGCAGGACAACAGGGTCTGCGTCATCTACATGGGAAGGGACTGGCTGTTGCGCCTCGCCCTGGAGCTCCTCGTCGTGATCGCGGTCGAAAGGTCGCCCTCGTTCGTACTCGTAACCCCTCGGCGTCGGCGTGACACTCGGCCACGAGAACGGCGTCCTCGCGCCATCGCTATCGCTGTTCTGTGACCGGGACTGCTCGCGAGACATCCACTGTGCTTTCTCGTTTCGTTCCCTTTCCGCCTCGGCGTCTTCTGCTTGCGCCTCGTCGCCCTGGGCAGGCATATATCGCGGCCCCGAGACGCAGTCCTCTTCTCCCTTTGCTCGCTTGCAGCAGCAGCGAGAGATGCCCCAGATGAATAGTGAGCCCATTGAGATCCCGAGGAGAGCGAAGACGGGGAGGAGGTATAGAGGATTGACTTCGATGTGCTTGTGTGGATGACTAGCCGGAGTTGAAGATGGGGGGAGGGCGGTTATGGTGGTTATGTTCGAAGGAGAGGTAATTGAAGGTGTAGAAATCGCAGAGGATGAAAGAGTGGAATTGGCGAGAACAACAGATTGGTAGGAGGATATAGAAGAAGGGAGAACAGTTGTGATGCCACCTGATGGAAGTGTCGTGCTTACTGCTATCGGGGTGGTTGATGCGGGGAAAGGGGCTACAGTACTTGTGGTTGCCCCTCCAGCCGGATAGGGCCACCAATAGTCGTAGCTGGAAGATGTCGGCACGGATGGGTCAATTTGTCTTGCTGAGTGATGAGAAACGTTGTGAAGTTCCACAGCATTTAATCTCGCATAAGATGCGACCAGTGTGACAGCTGAGCCGGTAGAGTTGCTCGAGTGAGTCTTGCCTTCAGCCGTTGCAAGCAGGATGCAGCCCACATAAGCCGCCCGCCATCTTGTCGGCATCCTGTGCTGGAGGTAATGTGACAAGTGGGCTATTGTCCGGATTCAAAGAACTGATTCTCAATAGGGAAGCATACATATTGCCCGTGGCTGACATTGCGGTGCGGCTGACTTCCGGAAATGTGACCCACGAAATTAGAACCCGGACTGACTGGGTTCCCCAGAATGACGACGGCCAAAAATTCGCTGATCATACGCAATCTCACAGTTGGAATAAATTAGATGGGACACACTAGAAGTAATACATGCGAGAAGGTGCAAACGAGTGTGCCGGCGATCTAGCTCTTGATACTCGACGAAGTCGGGGGGAGGGAAGGCAACCATTGCACGGGGTGGGAGTTATATATTGGCCATGGTGGCACGATTAACTGCGTTACGTCGGAAGCTAGGTTAGAACTTCATCCTCCCTGGATGACTCATGTCACGTACCAGAACCAGTGCTATAGATCCAGCAGAGAAAATCCCGAATGTCACCTGAAGCGACTGCAGCGCGAATCCAACAATAAATGAGATCACCTAGGCAGCAGTCAGACAAAGGGAGAATTGCAGACACGGGAAACTCACGGATAGCACGACAAGAGCCACTCGCGTGATGGTTTCGACGAGCTTTTGGCCTTCGAAATCCTACGGCTTTCTCAGCTTTCGCAGACTGATTAGAGTAATCGGAGACTGACGATCTTCCCCTCCAGCAGTCCATTCAGGTTTGCGTTCATGGTGGACCCGCGATGGCAATAACAATCGAGGAAGCTACGGCGAGCTCTACGTGCGCCACGGGCATCTGGCCGACGCGTTACAACGGGTTGTTACCGTGGGAGTATGTTGGTCCCGCGGGAGCCGGAAGCAGATTGGACCTGGAAGCTTGAGCTTCGAGCCAATGCTTGAGATTGTATGTCGGGATTCGCGCAGAATACGCCGTCGAATATTTTCCGATTTCAGGCTCGCTATAGGTTCCAGCAGATGCTGAAGGCTGGGTTATATCGGAAATTGCATATATAGCCGTTATAAGCTATTGGTTTACACCGCACCTGAGGACATTCAAGATCTGGTGGGTTTAGATTGTATCTCCCTGGTGGCTTGGATTTCAGAGCTTATAACCGCTAGCAGTGCGACGGAGCCATACTGCCGCATGCGGCCCAATCTGCTCCGGAGTTTTGGAGGTCATGCTCGAAAGGACATCCCGCAATTCCCCTTTCGCATACGGTGTATTGCGCGTGGTAGAATCCCCCCCCCCCGGTGCAGGGGCGGGGCAGCTGTTTAGTGCCTTGGAAGGAAGCCTAACCTTTGTGTGGCTCTTAAGCTCGTCATCGCCTTCTGCGGAGTAGGAGCATTATCTCATTAGAGACGTTCTGCTCTCAATGACTGTTAACACGGTTCAACAATTCCGCTAACTCCGCCCATATCAACCGAGCTGGATCATGTATATTGACATTATATGTCGAGCGGCTCGGCGAACTGCACATGCCGGACCATACTTACGTCTATAGACCTCCAAGTCCGCGGCATCTGGAGGGAGTGCAGTAAGCCTTCTGTTCATCGTGATCCATGTGGCTAAGAGCCGCTGATAGTTGCATGACGTCCATCGAAGAAAAGATCCTTAGGATGCCTGCGTCACTTACGAACTTTGAGAAGGAAGGAGGTAGTAGCTTACACGACTCAACAGGTTCCGCTGAATATCTCCCGAGTTCCTATGCATTCATCTCCGATATCCGACGACATTCGAGCTCGTGCACAGTAAGAGTAGATAGCATAAAATCCGATAGCACGACAGCCAAAACGATAATAAGTTAATATCCCGGGCCCCATCTATGTGCCAGTGGTGGTAAGGCCAACCTCGGTCAGAACAAATGCCCTACAGAAGACAAGTCTGGACAGTCCTTACCACAAAAAATCATGAAGTAGAAGAAAATAATACAGCAGATGTACGTAACGAGTCGTCGAAGGAGCGCGGCTCACGAGAAAACCGTTTGAGGGGATCAGACGAAGGCACCGTACGGTCGTACCGGCGGAGGCACGTAATACCCGGACTCATCAGTAGTCCGAGGGAACGCAATGCCGGCCTGTAGAGGCGGACTACGGTTGCGGTACGTTTCATGAGTGACAATAGGTGAAGCCTGTAACGACGGCGGGGCTGAATGCATGGAAGAAGAATGCGTGGAAACGTACAACGACGGACGCGGAGCAGTCAACGGCGGTGGACCCGTCTGAGTAGGGTGCTGCAGGGGCAAGCTGGGCGCGGACATGCCCGCCGCTCGCATCGTCTCCTCGTATCGAGCCGCCACTCTAGCCTCATACTCCGGGTTGAATATGAACGGCTGGTCACCGTCCATGATCGCAGGAGATGTAGGCTCAGAATTGACATAATATCCAGATCCCACAGGAGCTCGGTCTGTAGTGATGGCGGCCACAGTGGTAGTAGCTACCGGCATCCCAGAAATCGGTAGAGGCGCCTGGGCGTTTGAGGCGGCCGGGACAGACGCCGTCTTGGAGGTTTCCTGCATTTCCTGCGAGGCAAGGCCGCCCTGCCAGCTTTCTTCGACTGCCCATGGATATTCGATAATGGTACCTGAGCTGTCCACGTGAGACGTGGTATCGACAAATCCAGAGGGAGGGTATAGATAGCTGCGATCGTCCGTCCAAGCGGCATACCTAGGCAAAGCCGTATTTACCAGCGAAGAATCATTCGATGCATAGTAGTCTTGTTGGTGGGAGTATGCCATTGACCCACCGGACGACGGGGTCACTACTCCCGAAGTCAATGCAGAGAAAGACGCCGAGTCGACGGTAGACGAAGACGTAGGTGAGGAGGGAGTCGAGTCTGACATCGGCGAAGTCAACGGTACGGAGCTACCATCGTCGGGGAACGATGGAGCCTTACCAAACTTCGTATCGAGCTGCGCCTGTGCTTTGGATCTCCGACGGGGCCCTAAAGGGGCGGGTCCTTCGACGGGACTAAAGTGTTGCGCACGTGCTGCCGCGCTGCGATGATATGGCAACGGCGCGCGAGCCGATCCGGGGCTGATGTTCCCGCCGGTTGGCGCGCCCGTAGGTGCACCTGCAGATAGGTCCGACCTTGTTAGTGGTGGCCGCGTACTCGCATTGGCGCCGTAGGTGCGTTTCTTAGTCATTCCATGTATCTTCTTGAGGCGGGTGACGAGGCTTGGCTTAGGATTATCGTCTTCTACTTCTGGTTTGCCGCCACCGCATGGCACAGCCGCAGGAATCTCAGGTAGTTGGGCCGCAGGAGGCGGAAACGTCTGGCTCCTCGGAAGCGCTTGTCGAACGGGTTGAGTAGGGTAGACGATTTCTGGATCCGATAGTGGAGATGATGGAGTAACTGTGGACAACGCGTATGATGTCGGCTCGGTATTCATAGATGCCCTCATGGACATCATATCTGAGGAAAGGAGTATCATCAGTAAATGTAGAGCGCTACCCTTCAGTTCGGCGAAGCGTCGAACCTGCAACAGACAACGGATATTTACGTTCCGTAGACAAAAGTAGCCTGTACTTTTGTTCGTCCGTCTGAAACCAAGGAGTCCCCTCCGCTTTACCCTGAGCTCGAAGCTGGATAGGTCCCTGTCAGTATCGGGTATCGAGTATCATGAATGAACCGAGCTACAGTAGGCCACATACCGTCCGATAGAAGAAGTCAGTCAGTATGTCCATCTTCTGGTTTGCTCGCAAAATCATGTGCAATTGAATATTGTGCTAAGGAATACGTCAGAATGGCGCCTGCGGGGGAAGGCACTTCGGATGCCATACATGAACGAGCAATTGCGAGAGCATTTGCCACTCCGCACCGGTGTGCACGGTAGACACCAAGCCTATGTCTGTGCCCACCGCTGCATCTGAAGCGGCAATGACAATGAGATGTCGTGTGGATGGTATGCCTTCGAACGTCGTGGCCAGTGACTAGACCCTGGCTTAATTCCAAATCCATTGTTAAACACAAATATTAGCGCTCACGTGAACAGCACGTTGAACGACGGAAGGCATGATACGATTCTGTGGGTCCAAGTTGAAACCGATCTCGAGCTGTTCATTGTATTCCATCTGACCGGTCTTCGACTTATCGACAGATGTTGACGCTGGACTAGTTGGCAGTAACAACACTTGAATCTGAGAATCATAAACGTTGGTACACGAAGGATAATAAAGGCTGAATACCGACCGGGACAACCGGGTTCGCCACCCTCATGGTCCCGAGCAGAGTCGGCAGGTAGTGCGCTCGTAGTTCCGACCAGCACGAAGCCATTTCCCGCGAGTTTTCGATGAGTAGGAGCACGGCCACTGGCCCTCCAGGTGCAATCGGCTGAAAGATAGGTGCACATCCCGCCATAGCAGTGCGGTGTAGGTCAACTATTCCAAGCCGAGCTAAGTCGTCAAGTGTGTATATAGACGAACAGAAAGGCGACGGTTAGCTAGTCGTCCCTGCGCGTGAACGAGAGGCTAATTAGTAAATACGTGGGGGGCTGCAGTCGTGGAAGGCATGACACGGGGTGAGAAAGGACCAACAAGGTAGTGGTGAACCCTTATGAGAGCATCGGGCGCTCTGATTCGGTCCTGAACCGTGGCTCTCGTCTCGCTGAGAAGAGCAACGCTGGTTGATGTTCCGGGATGAGATTAGGTGCTTGCCGGTACGATTCCGTTAGAAGCACAGTCCAAATGCCTCCGACACAGCCCGACGCAGCGTCACCTGGGACGAGCCAACAACGTCAACGCTGTCAAGGCGTGTTCCCTATAGTCTATCACAATATAATATGTGAAGCCAAGGCCGCGGGGGAGACATACGCTGAGCCCCTGACTAGGTTCACAATGGGGTAAAGCCCGCTGATTGCTGGATACTTGTAGTTGTTATATTACTCGCGATAGTCGGATAAGCCTAGTGGGCAGATGACAGGAACGGATGATATCGACGGATTATCAGTTTGAGAAATTCACAAGTATAACCAAACGTACCCGTCGATGAGATCTAAAAGAAGACCACGAAGCACTAGGAACCAAGGCATGTGCCGCGGTTCGGCGGTGGACGCGCCGTATTTCCTGCCTTTCTTCCGAAATTAAGCGTATAAGGTATATCGTGAACTGGAACGACGAAGATAGTCCTCGTGTCTATGATTAAATAAATCCATCTTCTTGGTGCAGAGACGGATCAAGTCCACCCTCAGCGCAATGCAGCCTGGTAGGAAATGAGAGGCTTTTGGCACTTTACGACAGAAAATGGGATCGTCTGCTGGCACCAATCTCGAGCTCCATCATGATTGTCCGACATGAGCTATTGCACGCTTACTCGAGTCGATAGAGCAGTCATGAATCGGAGAATTGATACATCGTCTAAGTACTCTGCGCTTTGCAAGCTTCCTAGTTGATTCATCCATGGCGCACGCATCACAGCATCAAAGCTTCTGCGCAGTCGAACACTGTCCTTCGTTGGTCATGGCATGCGGACGGGCCCAGCGAAATACTCAAGGAGATAATTAGCCAAGCGGCTTGAACATGCTCCTCCTGCTGAATTCCTTTCGCCTACTGAACTTCCCGTCGAACTGAGACTACAAATTCGTTCACCGAATAGCACGGCATGTGTATGGGGCCCAGCAGCAATCAGAGCAATCTGCACAAAGCCCGTGAACGACACGTTGGGTATCAATCCAAAACAGGCAAATGTTTTAGTTGCCTCCTTGGGGTTTGTTTGTGCGTGTGTACGCGTCGTTACCCCAGCCGCACGTTGTTGCTGCAGGCCTTCACCGTTCTGTGCAATAACCTCGACAGTTAAGATGGCTGGAGTACCGACGGCGTCGTCGCCAATAACGCAAGTGTCGCAGGTGCCGACACAGACGAACCTTGGCCAACCGAATCTACTGACAAGACTACACCTGGACCTGAGGGGGAGACGTTTCACAGTCGACCGAGAAACCATCATGAATCTCCCAGAATCAGTCTTGCTATGTCTCTTTCCGAATGGCCTCGTCTTGAGCCGGCAAAGCGTTGCAATGTCGGACGGCGGGGATAACGAGGAGGACGAGGAGGTGTACGGCGTGGACGTACGTGCCAAAGTGACCCTGCGGTCCTAACCAACTCATGACTCTACCCCCAAGTTCGATCCAGACTGCTTCGCGTACGTGCTAGCGTTCTTCAAAAATGCGGCCGATGCATTTTATGGGACGGAGAACTCGCCAGGCCTGTTCGCCGCCCAGCAGCACCTGATGGACGGATCTCCGTCACCTGACCTAGGCCCCTCGCCGTCACAAAACCCGCTGCTCACCAAGCAGGCTATCATCGTGCTCCGAGAGGAGCTCGAGTACTTTTCAATACCGCCGAAAGGGACCCCCGCCGGGACAGACGAGCACGGGATAGCGAACGCCGCCCTCATCGACGTCAAGCGGAAGTGCGGGGGGTATCTCTTGGAGAAGCGCAACATATTCACCGCGCTGCAACGTAACGTTCATAAGGAGAACAATATTGCCGAGCAGCACCTTATCGACATGCTGTGTATGAGGTACGAGCTGTCTCAGTAGTGCTCGGTATACAAAATCTGAAATCATGTTTCTAAAGTGGATTCGACCGCGAGGATGAATGGGGATACCGCGCGCTCGAACCAAATAGGTGCTGTATATCGTCAATAGCTCTGGTCCTATTAAAGACCGGCATTGTACACCACTCCCCCGGTCCGAACGGGGAGCCCCGGGTCGCAGTCGACTATAACCAGATGGCGACCGCGCAGAAGCTGCTCCTATTCTGGCGGAAACCTGCGGTCAGTGTCCCATACGGCAACTCATGCCCTCGGTGCAGCAGCTGACACCCGCTTCGCTTTGTGCCGGCACAGCGGAAATGCTGGTGGGACGGCATCGAAATTGAGATCCAGGACAGCGAAGGCGCCGCGCAGCAGGTGAAGCTGTGGGCGCGGCGAGTGTGGACGCTCGAGCTCAGTTTGGTGTGTTTTTCCGCTGCGGCGTCTTTCCGGCGCTCGTCATAGTCACCTGGGCACTGACGACACACGGCACACCCGTTTTCGCAGGTTTAGCACTCGTCGATCTGCCGGATGTCGTTATCGGTCCGCTGCTTCCACTCCTTTCTCTGCCTATCTTCCGTTCGTTTCTCTCCTTCTCTTGTGCAACATCGATATACCCGTCATCTGCAAACTATATCACGCACGTATTTCATCTAATTCACGGTGTCCGCTGTATCAAGGCAATACATGATCTGCCAGGGGAATCTGCAAGCCGATATCTGATCCTGACCGCGATGGGATGGGTCGCCCAACCGGACGGCTGCGTGAGCTTCGGAGGGAAATGCGGCAACTTGTGACAATGAACACAATGAACCGGGCATAAATTTACTACCAGGCCTCGTGGATCCGGGTCCGAATTCGACACCTTCTGCAAAGCTTCCATGTCCCTTGACTCTTTCTATTAATGGACTCGTGGACGCATAGCTTGTTACATTGACTTTCGCGGTTCGCACCTCGAGTTCATATCCATTCCGCGGGGTGTAACCGTGGGTAACCTGTCCTTGACTGTGGCCATTTGTTTTTGAGCGTTTCGGGCTCGATACCGTACCCCACCATGAGCTCTAACTTTGACCTAGAATCTCTTGTCAACCTAGAGCAAACGTCTGCGCTGGTTATCTTCCTTAGTAGAGTTTGAATCTTATGGAATGGCAGGTTCTACGACGATGGCTACAAGGACGGTTATGCACACGGCCGAATCCACGGCCTCATCGAAGGCAGGGCTTTAGGACGCGAGAAAGGATTCGAGATGTGGGAAGAGCTCGGCTTCTATGAAGGCTTCGCTTTGATGTGGAAGGCCATCTACTCAAAACAAGGTCGCCAGGACGAGTGAGTCGCACGCGTGCGGCCTGCCTTGCTGTCTCTGACGCTTCGAAGTCGAGGTTTCCACCATATACTCCAGTTATTGGAACTGATCTCTCAGTTTCCGAAGACAAACCCCTCGGCGGAGGCGTCGGATGTCGATATACCTAAATTGTTCCGCCAGATTCGGTCTCGGTACAAGATCCTTTGTGCATCTCTAGGTGTAAAAGCCAGTCTTCGTGCATCGGACGTGCCATCCTCGTCTCCGCCGGAGGATGATGGAAATGAAGTCCCTCAAGGCGTGACCGCGACACGGAAGGTCTGGGAAGTGAAGAAGCCCGGGGAGACGAATACTACTCAAGATTTGTCGTTTTAACTAGGTCATTGGTTCGCTGCCTCCTACAGAATAGCCGGTGACCGTGCTCACAGATGAACTTGGACAGTATGTATACATTCGGATCTTGTTTGTTGTAATACAGGTGCCATTGTAGCTCTAATCAATGAAGCCCAAGAAGTACATTTGAGACCTCCGATAGTCCGCCCAAGCTGATTGATGTTACACGACAGATCGCCAGATAAACGCTCCCACAACTCAATTGCCACTGCAGCACGACTGCACGCTGTATCCCGGCAGATTCCCATTCGTGTCCTTGAAGGCGGAGACACTGCGTGGGTCCTTCCCTCCGGGAACGTCCATGCTCGGATTATACTTGAAGAAGTTGTGCGGCTTGAACGCAACTCGGAGGTGGTCCACGGGCATGCTGCACCAGGAGTTACAATCAGCTGCTGCCCGCTTGAGACCGCATTGGAAACGAGTACGTACACGGGCCAGTCCTCCGGGCGCGGGATGTGGTTTGTGCCGACCGTGATAAACAGCACCACGTCTTCGTTCTCGATACTCTCCTCACTTTGCACCCACTTGCCTAGCGACTCCGCGGGCTCCTCCCTCGTCCCGGGGACGTACTTGCCCGCAGGCCACATCCGGTTACCCTTCGGCCCCTCGACGTCCTTCACGACCCACAGTGGCTTTCTTGCGAACGCGGCCCTCGTAGCGACCCAGCTGTCGTCACGGGCCAGTAGCGTGGTGGCGCCACCCTTCATGTTGATCGCGTAGGACACTTCCTTACCGCTGCTGTAATGTTTCCGCGCAGGGTTCACGATTCGCCACCTGCGATCCTTCGCCAGGTCCATTTCGCGCACGCCCTCGCTCTGCTTCTTGAGGACCTTATCTTGCACGATGAAGGCATTCCCAGCGAAATTCGCTGCTGAACCCGTCGGGGCGTCCGGCAGTGGGACAATGTCGGACTCGACGACGCTGTTTTGCAAGCCGTCGAGCATCGGGTCTACGCGCAGGGAGAAGATGTGCTGGTGGTAGTGTGCGTTCACTTGGGGAGCAACCAGCGTGCCGTATTGGGCTGGCTCATCGGGCTTCGCAACATATACTTGCAGGATGCCCGTCAAGCGAATTTCGAGCTCGATGTTGCCGTCCTGGTAGAAGTAGTAATTCCACACATACTCTGTAAGGGGGTTTCGGCTTCAGAGTGAACAAAGCTGTTGAAACGCTCGACGAACCATAATTTGCGAGGGTACAGATCATGCTGATAACTAGGCGGCGGCTCCGCACCGAGTGGGCACGGCCACCCTCACGCCAGTCAGTGTGTTTCCACAAGAGGCCGGCGTCCTCTTCGTGAATACAAATAACGTTCTTGATCACAACCGCACTGCCGTCGTTCGCAACATACGCTCCGGGCTAGTAGAACGGTCAGGAGTGATATTCAGTGAGGCCTGTTATTTCGTGTTGCCTTACCAAATAATGGATCTGCCCGAGACAATCGCAACCAAGCGAGAGCTCGTTCGCCATCGTGCCCATGCCATACTCTCCCCTGCATCGAGGTCAAGCGCCACCAGGATAGGTATAGTTCGGAAAGCACGTACGTGTCGAATGCGAATTTCCTCGGATGAGGATACTCCGGGGCGCCATATGGCACAACCATTTCCGCGACGGAGAGACGGTAGAAGATTGGCCGAACCTCACCGTCATCGTTATAGGTGATCGTAGAAAGCGCAATACCCTCCCGATGGCTAAAGGCTAAATGCAATAATAGATTTCAGCGCTACAGGACCAACGAGCAAGTACGAAGTTATCCGCACCGATGTGCATCTTCCACTTCTGCCACTCGAGCTCATGCCCGTCCATCTTGAAGCTCACGCCCTCGGGCTGCACGACATGCAGCGGCTTCACGTCGTCCCGGAACTTTGTCTTCTGACTCTCGTTCTGGGCCATGAGATCGGGCAGGAAGTCGAACTTCTCTTTAGGCGGGGCGATGCGCTCGCGGTTGGTCGCCTGGAGGGGATCGGCGTCCAGAGGAGGGAACGAGGTCGTTTGGGTCGAGAGCTTGCCCTCGGGGTTGTAGGAGGGCGGAAAGTCAATATGGATCACCTTGCCCGCGACGGAGTCGATGATTGGGATGAAGTCCTACGTGCGGGTGGTCATCAGAAAGATAGGATGAGGGCATAGAGGGAGTAGTGACCATAGGGTGCGCATAGAGGTTCTCGTGCTCGCCGAACCTAGCAAATAAGAGGGCTTGCTGAATCCGAGTCTTCTTAGGGAACCGATCATCGTAGCCGATTGCCCAACCATCTGCATGCAGCTGGTGCGGTTCAACGCCTGCGCACCGAAGTGTGAGTCGATCGCACCCACAAGGATGTAACGTCACTGCTCACCGACGTCTCTCGCGAGCTTCTGCACTCGCTCGTCAGCCCGCACAATCTTCTCGGCTTGGTTGAGCTCCTCAGGGGAGATCTGAGGCTGGGTGCCCTCGGGGAGTAGTTCAATGGATTCTACTTCCCATTTCGAGTCCTTGAACGCAACAATCGCATTGTACCCATTACTGTTTCACATGTATCAGAGCATTCGGCGATTCCATGAACTGTAACGCGAACCCAGTGACAACATCGATATACTAGCTTTACGATTGAGCATACATTTCCCAGACATGACTGAGGACTCACGTCAGCCTCCGCTTTCCTGACAATCTCGGACTTGGGCTCAGGCTTAGCCCCAGGGCTGAGCGGAATCCCCAGGTACGCGAGCACCACCTTCTTCGGCGGTGGCAGCAGATAGCATGTCAGGAACCTGATCGCCTTCACCTCGGTCTTGGTGGCGACGTGCTGCCGGATGCTGTATGTTATAGCAGCGATCTAGCAGCGACATCAGCCTCGGCGCTGCAGGTGCTGAAAGATGGGTATATCGTACCTCTTCCGCGGTCAACGGATCCAGAGGATGCTGATACTCAGGCGCCTCCGCTTTCACCTTCTGAGAGTGCAGACCGGTAGCAGTGCCGACAACAAAGGCTTCTCCGGGGGCCATAATGCAGAAATCGTAGAGGAAGTTATAACAGAAGTGAATGGGCGCAGGAGAGAAAGGCAACACCGTACAGCTCCATACTGCCAGTGCCGTATATATATAAGCTATAGGTCCGGATACAAGGAATGCTGAAGGACTCGGCTAGATAGTACCAACGATCGGAGACTTCGCGGGCGCTTAGATGTTGATAGCCGCTTGACTGTCTAAAGCAGTTCACTCGCTCGCTATTATACCGCGACTGTGCAGTGTTATAGCAGTAAAGTATAGCTGCTACAGACACTTGAATAAGTATAGAAGCGGTGCTAGTCACGATAGAAAGAACGCAAACAGGAGGAGAGGAGTTTCGCGCGCTGGGATGGCGTGGTGAAGAAGTGGCACTCCTGACAAGATAACGAAACCTATCGCCAGTCAGATGAGCAACAATACATCGGGACCCCGATAAGCCGCGGTCGAGCCAAAGCGACATATGCAAAGGGAGGCCGGTATCGTTTCGGAACGAGGATAAAATCGTGGGGAGGGTCGCCGAGTCCGAATTCGATGGAGGTTATCTCGCTCAAGGGATACGGATTTCCAATAGTTCTCCATTTACGATCTATGTGGGTTCGTCCAATCAACCACAAAGGAATTCGAATCCCACAGCAGGAGAGTGAGAGGCGTCATCGTCGGCGGCGTCAAACGAGGGCTGCTGAGGGGAGCCTGGCAAGAGGTCAGCCGTATATAGTCCCCATGACTTCAGAGTTAGACAGATGTGACAGCCAGTACTAGTGGTGATGGTAATTGAACGGGGAAAACACCAATCTATTCCCCGTGAAGTTCTCAGTCTGTCGAACAACTGCAGGCAACGGCTCTTCAAGTTCGCCGGCCAATACCCGTGAATTGCGAATTCTCCAACTGTATGTCGCAACAAAAATAACAGGAGTTCAATCGTCATGTGAATCCTGACGTACTTACCAATGTGAGGGTCTCAGGGAGAAGCTGATGGACGCATACTTGGACTAGAGTCCCAGGGTCGCCTATTATTGTGCTGAACCCGGTGCTGGGGTACCAGAGCGATTCAGTTCAGTATAGGGCCATCACCGCTCGTCAACGTACTCAGCGACGTCACCGTCGTTGGTATTCTGAGAACACCAATAACAGTGAAGTCGTGAAGTACTCTCTTATGCGGACGTCTTCAGCCAGGAGGCCTACTTGTGATGCTAGATAGCCTCGGTGGGTGTTTTCCCCAGGAGTCTTGAGGCAATGGGCAAGGGAGTGAACTTGAAGCTCGAGAAAAAAAATTAGGGCCCACTTCAAACTATATCTAGCTTTATAGTTAATTGTTAAACTCGGAGTGGAGATGCAATAACGATTCCAGCTTCACCTTCGGAAGGCGAGGATTGGATATTAAAATGTCCTTGAGCAACACCACTTTGTCGCAGATCTTTGGCTCCCGGGGTTCTGTAGCGTCCACAGGCAGAGCAACCTCGGTCAGGACGAAAACTGGTCATCAAGGAGGGACCCGTCTCGTCACATTCACGTGCTGAACGCGTCAATGTAAGTAGCACCTGACTGAGCCTACGCGTCACGCGTCCATGACGCCAAAGAGCGACATACTTTCGCAGCATCCACCACCTATTGCAATGCATCTACAAACGTCAGACGAAGGCGGCGAAGCTGACCGAGACTGACCAACCCCTGACTAAGATCATAGTGAGAGACGCATATAAGTAACCTGAAAAGATTCTGGCAGAGGTGCACCATTGTGGTGACCCACGATCCAAGCAACAGACGCAAGTAGGTATACGCGAGAATGGGTAACAAACCAATCTTCATTGTTGCCGGAGTGGGTAATGCCTCAGGTATGCGTCTTTTTGTGATCAGTGCAGTGAAGGGTCGTGAAATAACCAACACTCCGTATTCAAGGTACTGGTGCCGCAGCTGCGTAAGTGATACCTTGAGAGCACATTGGAGCTTGACTCCAAACCCAGTCCACAGCAAGGTGTTCGCGCAAGCAGGTTATCGCACAGCCTTGATCGCTCGAGATGCGACAGCGCTCGAGAAACTGGCATCTCAGTTAACTGATGCCCACGCCTTCCCCATCAAGGACTACAGCGTCCAATCCATCCACGACGTCTTCGCTGCCATCCGCAAACAGTGGCCTGAGGACCAGGGCCACGAAATCCGCGCGGCGCTCTGGAACACCGGTGCAGCCGTCTGGAAACCCTTCCTGGAGATTACAGACGAGGAGGTCAAGGAAGGTCTGGACATAAATATCGCTGCTGCCTTCGCCTTCTCTCGCAACATTATCTTGGAATTCAAGAAGAACTCGTTGAACGAGATTGGCAAGGTTAGTGTAGCAACCGTGAAGCTGTCTCAGATTCATTGAAGAACTGGTTTTCAGCGGGGCACATTAATCTTCACTGGGGCCACTGCGTCTATTCGAGGAAACGTGACAACTTCCTCTTTCGCGGCTGGCAAGTTCGGTCTACGGGCGTTGTCTCAGAGTCTTGCAAAAGAGTTTGGGAAACAGAACATACATGTAAGTCGCCTCAAAGTGTAGGGGAGATGCTTGGCTCACCCATTCTTGCCCAGGTTGCACACGTTAGTCAAAGATGTATTAATATGCGATAGAGACGAGCTGAATATCTGAACTCGACCTACAGGCGATCATAGACGGCGGTAAGTCCTGAAAACGGCATTCTAGGATCATAGAGTACTCATCGTGGTGCACTCAGTCATCCTAACTGGTCGTCAGCGCGATCGCCATGACGAGGATTGGGCTAAGAACGCCGACGTCCGTCTGGATCCGGAGAGTATCGCGAAGGTATGTCCCTTCCTCCACTTGAAGAAAGCTTATTGCTCACTGCATTTGGCTGCCTCAAGTCCTATTTGTTCCTTGCGAACCAGGACCGGAGCGCCCTGACGTGGGAACTCGATCGTAAGTTGCAGATAGATACAAGCATTTCCGCGGCACTAAAGTCTGGTTACAATTAAAGTCCGGCCTGCGCACGAGAAATGGTAAGCATGCGATCCCTGATCGAAAGCTACCGGGAATGCGTACCAGCACAAGTGCATCAGTATGTAATGAGAAGTGGAATTGTAAGTTTAGGAATAGAACTGAAGTAACCCAGCTACCTCTGGAGTCGAGATTTCCCGCCCCATACGATATGTAGACACAAGCACCTCATGTCATACTCCCGTCACGATGCTCGATGTACGTATAGTCTTTCGCGTCCCTCCCGCCTCTCTCTACGTCTACACCCACCAATATTGGTACCGCAACCCAGATCATGAACACAAGGAAGAAGAATGCATAGCGGATATTGCCCGTGAGGTCCGCAATGACGCCAACGACAAGTGGGCCGACAAAGGAGCTGGACTACATCCATCATCAGTTAAGAATAACGAAGGAAAACTGAGAGTGGGGACCTTGTCTGTGATGGAGAAGAGGCCGTACCTATAAAGCACGGACGTCAGACCGAAAAACAATGGAGGTATACCTCTACTCACCATCTAGCTTCCTCCCCAGGCGGTATCAACTCTGCATAGAAGGCCCTCGCGTAACTTTGAAAGGACCCATAAACCGAACCTGCAGTTGTGTAGCTCTGCTTAGACGCGTCCAACCCTTTTCAGACCAAGCGTGACTCACCAAAATACACAGCCAGCCCGAACATCTCTCCCGGTGTCGTCAAACCCCCGAACTTGACATTCCCATCCCTGAACACTGGCAAAAATCCGAGGCACCCATAAGCAGGGATAGCGGACGCTATCACAACCAGAGTAACAAGTATACGCAGATTGGTGAAATGATAGCGCCGTTGCAAAACTGGGACAACCAAAGAACCGAGGATGCCCGAGAAGGGCGTAATGATACCGATGAGGATCAGGGAGGACGCGGGCATGTGGAGAGTAGTCTTGCCAAAGAGGATCGCGGTGGAGGTGATGGTTGAGAAGCCTAGCAAAGAAATGAATACGGATGCACAAACGGGGAACGCCGGAATGCCCACCATCTGAGAGCAAGAACCACGCCACGAGGTATCGGAAAGTATTTCTTAACCTCTTCACTTCCCGCCAGCTGAGCATTCTGCCCAGCCTCTTCCACGCGTCAATGATCTCAGTCCACACGACCGCCCCCTTGGCTGTAGTATCTACACTGACAAATTCCTCCCCATCGAGGTCGGTAGCTAATCGTACCGCCCCTTCCTCTTCGGCTTCGCCGCCCGGAAGCCAGAGCCCTGCAATTATTGTTCCGATGAACCACCAGATACCGCTCGCGCCAATAGCGAGCCTGAGTGCCCACGTCGACCCGCCCAGCTTCGTTACCGGAACCAGGGTAAGGATGAGCACGATAATCCCCGCCGCATAACCTGTAGCAATGCCGTGCGACGAGATACGGGAGGTCGCCGAAGACAGCAAAGCGTCATATTCATGTTTGGCTTGAACCACATCGGATTGGAAGAGCGGCTCCGACCCTTCCTCACCTTCAGATGGGTACGACTCCAGCGCCTCAGGGTCCGTCACGACCGCGGCGAGGCTGGACGTGGGCAACTCCTGCATCGTGGCGAACGACTCGCACACCTCGGGCTCGCCCTTGGCGAGGCTCGGAAGGTAGGCGTTCATTGCCACTACTGAGGCGCCAAAACCTACGTTTGCGATGATGGAGAGTAGGGCGGAGGCCCACCACACGGGAGATGTGGATGGGAGGACAAGGAAAAGTGCAGCAGCAAGTGAGCCGCCGAGAGCGAAGCCCAGAAGAAGCGTCTTTCTGCGGGTCGCTGCGATGACAATATTTATTTCAGTGCAAGACAGTCCATCCGGATGGGCTGCTTACGATGATTAGCTATCGAGCCGATAGATATAACTGTTATAGCTTGTAGGAAGACCGATATTGAGTAGACGTAAAGACTAAGGATACATGATCGTAAGACAATTGTTCAGGGCCGATCGTTCCATATCCAAGAAGAAACGCAATCGCAAGGGTGCAATATTTGCAGGCGCATGTAGTACCAGCAGCAGGCACGCTCATGCAGCGTCGCAGACGTACATGATTCTTGCGGACAATACGGCATACAGTCCCGCAGTATCGTCCTCAGAAATCATGTCAGTCCACAATAAATTGCTCTACACCTCCGCTAAAGTTGCGAATATTTGTAAGGCACGGGGTCCTCAGAACACACCTGAAGCTTGCGGTATCTATCCACGCCCACCCCAGCTTCACTGCACATCTCTCTCTAGAGTCCGTGTCTGTCGCATTTGACGCCTTGGACGAGCACCTCGTCAGCTTGTCAGGCAGAATATACCCATTATCACGCGCAAATTGTTCGAGGCAGATCGGGAGGAAGAGGGTCAGTGATACAATTACGAACACCTCACTTGCAATAGAGCATAACAGTCAGAGTATGAATCAATACAGAGATTGGAATAGGAATACGAACCTGGCGAACGCGTATGTGAGCCAGCCCCGCAGGTGTTTCTTATGCTGTCCCGCAGACACGCTGTCAGCCTCAAGCGACATGTCTCCACTTCAGTATGCCAGTGCGAGAACAATATACAAAGGCTCTTGAAAGCACGATTAGGAGGGGCGTACTCGGAGGCCCATGGATGCCAGCAAGTGGTGTTAAACGAGGAAGTCACCTTCAGTTGGAAGGACTGGGGGATCCGGAGGTTATGATGTCGGCCACGTGGCTGCGGCGGGGAGCTCGTTCCGACTCCCGAGTTCGTTCATGAGCAGCTTTCCACTGGCAGAGTCCAGTTCACATAGGCTTGATACTGCGCCTCCTAAATAAGACTTAGTAGACGAGCAACTGTCTTAAATGGAGGCTTGTTCATTTTTGGTATCGACGTCGCGGAAGTCTTCCAAAGCTCTCGCGCGTTCCAAGAAAGGCAGGCTTCTCTGCCAGAAACGGCAGGCTCGCGTGGATGGCATCTGCCGAGCGTCGGCATGCGCAACTACACGGTGCAATCCTCGACCTCTCCCAGCTGATTTGAGCAGAGAAAAGAGCCCAATTAGCGTCTATATTGCACTGCATGGTCTCCCGTACAGCGGAGTGAATTTCTTCTCAAATCGGAACCTCTCTGTATAGAATTAGCAGCCTGTTCTTAGCTTATGAGGCCCAAAACAGCTTCAGGTGTCGTAATCCTTTACAGCCGCCAAAATTAACATTAGAAAACAGTATATAGGCTCTTAAGCAACGAGTATTAAAGTTGGTGAGGGTCGCGCCCTCCTCAAAAGCTTTGAATTGTGCAGAGAGCACTACAGAGCGTGCAGCGGCGCACACGGTATGCACGTGGAGTACCGTCCTGACGGTGCCGCCAATACCAAATCGAGTAGACGTCGTTGCCTAAAACGGCGCAAGGGGAGACTTCACTGGCGCGTATCGGGAAAGTGACCTACAGTGCCTTGCATAAGAAACTGAACATCGCGTTTCCCCGCGCGTTGTTTGCTCGCGCCAAATATACCCTTTTCGGGTAGGTCCGGAAGGCCTCTCGCGGGACCGTTTGTTGGGCAGGGACTCGCAGACGCCCCGAGACGGCTCGAAAGGCTTCAGAGAATGCATGAAATGTATATTCTACTACTACACTAAGGGCTGTAAATCATTACACTCTGCCCCCACCTGTATGCCTAGCTACCCTCCCTCTCGATGGGTCTTTGTCGCACATTTGCCGATACCCGAAAAGGGTATATTTGGCGCGGACAAACAACGCGCGCGGAAATGCGATGTTCAGTTTCTTATGCAAGGTACTGTAGCCTAAGTTCACACACTCGCTGCTATCCTGGACAGGACTCTTGGTAGCGTCTCAGAGCCCTGCATTTTATAATACTTTAACAGGTATCAACGTCACAGTGGTAGACACGATGCTTTAACGACAAGAAACCGAACATCGGTACGACGGAAGGAAGAATTCAAACGATTCAGAGGACAAGAAGTGAAAGCGAAAGCAAAGCCCTCAGACCAATTAGAAGAAACTTTAGGAACTCGGTTGGGGAAACATCCAAAATCTCTTTCAGTCAGCTCCTGGACCTGAGGTGACTTGACGTGATCTGGTGCGCAAGGAAAGGGTGTTGGATCAGGAAGTCAACTGACGGGAACTAGCCCACAGCGACTGACCTCTGGGTGGAATGCCCCTTCATTGACAATGGGTTTACCATTCGAGGGTGATGGGAATACACCCCACGGATACCAGACCGCCTGTCAAACCGGTGATATCAGAACAGTGCAGCCACTGAAAACATCTGGAAAAACCCATACCTGACGAGTTATCAGAGCAACAGACGGGCTGCGCGGAGCTATACAACCACAGTCGTGTCAGTGGTCGCTTCGAGAACAAAAGGGGTGATTGTACTTACCAAGTAGCCCCGTTGCCGAGGCCGCCAACGGTTAGCGGGGAGCATTGCAAGCCGATGGGCACGTTGAGACCATCCACAACGATGCCCAGGAGCCCTAGGAGGTTGGTCATGTCGGGACTTCCGGCGGTCTGCACCTGCTGGCAGCACTGAATCGCGCCGGTGTTGCACTGGCCTCCAGCGACCTGGCGGGCAGAGAGCGGGCTGGCGGAAGCCAAGACAAGGAGAGAGAAGAGTGTGAAGAGCTTGACGAGGATGGAGTACATCTTGGTTTTTTATTCAGAGGTAAGGAATGTGTTTCAATGAGTGACGAGTGGGCGAGATGAGTGGAAGGCGCAAACGAGAAATTCTCGATGGGTTCACAGAACCAGACTGCGACTTATATAGGATCGCGGGCTTGGTGCGGGACTGTCCATTTCTTCAATTGATGAAAGGAGACATGTCTCGGATGCTTGTTGCGAATAGAAGGGGAAATTTGTTGACAACCGCCAGATCTTCGGCAGTGCAAAATAGAGAAATATTCATCCGGTGACAGTAGTTCACGGCACTGTCAGATTTTGGTCGGAGGGTTAGATGAGGAACGACATATTATGGCGAACAAGGTGGACATGAAGCGGACGCTGGCAGACGCCACAGTATGGAAGCGAACACGTATGATTAGAAGCGCTCGGGATGCGAGATCCCATCGGGAACCACGGAAGCAAAACCTTTCGTTCTTATGATTGGATGTTGGTCAAGAATCGAGATACTTACCTCGAAAGCACCTCCAAACGTAGGCCTCAGGCTCTCCTGTCGGACCCAGGTAGGTGCTAGATGATACAAACCTACCGAACGTAGGTGAAGTATTCGGTACGCTCCTCAGACAACGGTCAACCTTTCCGGTAGGTAGACGCAGTGAGGGAGGCGAAGTGGTCAGCGGTCGTGTTAAATGCACTCCACTTGCATGAAGGCACGCTGAAATGGATCACCGCCAAACAGAGCAGACCACCAAACAGAGCAGACTGCCAAACAGAACAGAGTGCTTTCAGATAGTCGCTCAACCTATTTAGGAGCCACACGATAATGTACCTGAATTGGCCACATGTCGCTCACGTACGATAACCCATGCCCTTGTGGCCCGACAGCAATCTTGTATAGTAGGCTTAGCATTTCTATATATTCGTGTATAGGTGTTCAAGTCAAATAACGACGGAGGATGTATTAAACTATAGGCTAGTATTTCCGACAATGTAACCAGTAAAGCAGGGAAAGAAGCAACATAGAAGTAGGCACGAAGGGTCGTTTTTGTAGTGTATGCATATACTGCGTCACTAGGGGTCAGAAGATGATGGAACGAAGAGACACCCGAGCCCACCTGAGTTTGTCTAGACGGACAATCCAGCTCAGCCGATCAGGCTGATAGGCATGCAGCCAACCGAGATGAGGCCACCTGTGTCAAATATTAATAAGCACTTGTTAAAGCTCAGCCAATTCAACGAGGCGGCTTACCAGACGAGTTATCCTCACAGCAGACAGGGTTCGCGGTGCTGCCCACGCAAGTCAGCCCTTCGTCCCCATCGATCACATCAGGTAAGCACACTCACCAAGTCGCCCCGCCCCCAAGCCCCCCAACCGTGAGTGGACTACACTGGAATCCAATGGGCACGTTGAGCCCCTCCAGCACGATCCCCACCAAGCTGAGGACATCGGTCATCCCAGGATCCCCAGAGTTCTGCACCTGTTGACAGCACTGCAGAGATCCGGTGTTGCATTGCCCGGTCGCGTCTGGAGCGGCAGGCAGGACAGCGGTCGGCGTCGCGGCCAAAGAAGTCGTGGGTGACCCAGAAGTGGAGACAGCCGGTAAAGTGACGGGGTCTGTTGTGCTGGGAGAAGAAATGATATCTGTAGTCGTAGGGGAGGAGGAAGTGGGGACGGCCGGCGTGGTAACCGGGTCTGTTACACTGGGTGAAGAAATGGGTGTGGATGTGGGAACGGATGGCGTGGTGACCGGGTCAGTGACGGTGGGCGAGGAAATGGGCCCCGTGCTCGTGGACCCGCTGGTGCTCGGGGTGTCCGTGGTCACCACATTCGTCACTACAGGAGTAGTTGGCGAGATCGTGGATGCCGGGGAAGTAACGGGATCAGTGACTGCATCGCCAATGGACGTGCTCCCACTGGGAATGGAGGCGGGCACCGAGCTCGGTCCCCCACTAGCCGAGATCGTAGATGAAGAAACGGAACCGGGGGAGGTGGAAATCCCAGCGCTCCCGGTAGGAGCGGTGGTGGTGAGGACGAATGTAGGCGTAGGAGCGTTAGCGCCACTGCTGATTGGTGGACTGGGGAGCACAGTAGGCGTCGTGACTACGGAAACGACTACTGAGGTAGAAGTCACCACGAGGGTGGACGTAGTCATGGGGATGGCGACGTCGGAGGGACTAGGGCACACACACGCCTGGGGGTCCGCAAACGCGACGGCCAAAGACGAGGCCAGCAGTAAGAATTGCACGCGCATGATGAAGCAAACGAGCGACGATAGTAAAGAGCGTGGATGGAGTGATAAAGGGCCTGTGGAAGAGAAGACCAATGATTGAGAAACAAATCAGACTTGGATCGCACTTTTATCTGGGCCCTTGGAAGTACCCAACGAGACAAAAAAATCCCATGAAGCCAAACCTGACCCAACCCGAGGCGTCCAATCCGAAGTGTACCTCATCTTCCAACTTGTCTTCACCCGCACGGCAGGGAAGCGAACTGCGCCGATCCCTCATGACAGGAACTCGGAGCCGACAATTCCACCAGTCCCTCGTACCGACCAAACCCAAAACAAGAGCAATATAATATATTTTCACAGTACAGAGCAAGACGCACTACAACTCCTTTTTGGCGCTATCCGCGGCAATCCTGGGTGCGCGCTTCTGAATCCCCTCAATAGCCTTCAGCCTTTCCGTCAGTGTCGGGTGGGAGTGATGGTATGCCGAGTATCTATCGCAACACATTCAATCAGTCAAACATGCCTCAGCGAAGAACGATGAACAAGAGGGCAGACGCACAGCCAATCCACCCAAACAGTGGATAAATTCTTTACGTGCAGCGTAATCAACGCGCGCTTGAGCCGCTCGCCCATATCCGCCATGTCCTCGACCTCCTTCTTCTCCTCCTCGCTCAACTGCAGCTTCCCTGTACCGTTGATTAAGCCGAGTTAGTTCTATTACGGACGGGGAGGGTGCTTACCGGCGGCGTTGTCCTGGAAGAGCTTCGCGGGGAGCTCGGTCGCGAAGCGGTCGGCCTGCCACTCAAATTGGCGACTAATGAAGTTCAGGCCGATACCGACGACTGCTTCCATTGGCGTCAATATCATCTACATTCACCGCGACCAAGGAAGATTTGTTAGTCGAGACAACACAACAAGTGCAAAGTGAGGCTACGAAGCCGCCTGTCGCTTACCTGGAATAAGAGGAATGCGACGATGGTAGGCGGGTTCCGTGCCACATGTTCGGGGAAGTCGAACGAGCGGAGGACCGGCGGGGCGTGCAAGAATGCGGGGAACAGAGAGAGTATTGTGAAAATGTGTGCCTGGGAGATAAGGAGGAGCTTTGACGGGTGCAGGAAGTACCAGTGGCCCAGCTCATGCGCTACAAATTGTAGAATAACAAGTCAGAGTCGTAAGATGGGAGTCCATGGTGAAGGTACGCGCCTAGTACAGCCTCAATGTCTTCCGGCGGGCTTTCCTTGATTAACGTATCAAAGATGACGATGTGCTTACTCTGCGCAAGATCAGCGCATGAAGTATAGTCGCGAGTCAAATACACTTACCCAGGGCAGTCCGAAAAAGTACGCGTTACTATGCGAGCTGCGCTTCGATCCGTCGATCTCATAGAGGTGCTTGAGCGGGAACTTCAGTTTCGACGCCATCGACTCGATCCTGCCGCGCAGCGGGCCCTCGGGGAGCGGCGAAAGCTTGTTGAACAGCGGCTGGATGACAGTCGGGTACAGCACGACCATGCTAAGCTGGAACGCGAGCCTAACACCATGTCAGAGCGCGTCTCAAGCAGCAGCAGTGTATGCGGAATACACACAGGAAGCCCATCAACCACGGGACGAAGCGGTCGCCAGCCCACTTGAATATTTTCAGGAAGGCGGCGAGGAAGGGTGCACCAATTCCAAAGCCAAGCGCCCATCCCTTGAGCATGTCCGTGACGAACAGGGAAGGGGTGGTCTTGTTGAAGCCGTGTTTTTCCTCCAGGACGAAGGTTTGGTAGACCGAGAGGGGGAGCGAGGGTAGAGACGAGATGAAAAAGAGCACCGCAGAGAACAGTATCGACTGTGGTATCTACAGCCCTCCGGTGTTCAGTGGCAGTTCCCGTTCCTGTCGTGGCACAGTAAACGTACCTCGTACGCCGGGCCATATCCAAACCTGCTAAGTATCTTCCCTGCAATATCCCAAGACCATGCGTATGCACCAAATTGAATTAGGGCCGAGTCGATAACCTGCTTGTAGATCCCAGCAAAGAGGGAGAATTTGGCCTTGTCCTTCCCATATCTCTGGGACTTTTCGAAGGTGTCCTTGTCGAAGTGGCCTTCAAGGATGGCAGGGGGGGCCGCCTTTGAGTAGAGGGGATATTGACGCAGACTATATCAGCCAAGAAGCGCAAATATGAGTATGTCATGTCATGTCATGTCACGTTGCGTTGTCAGTCCATTCGCTGGAAGGTAGGCGAGAGCTAGTACGACCGGAGGGCGGCAACCCCGCCGCGTCCGCGGCATACTAGCACTCGCGTACGCCCAGCAAAGAAGCTAGACACCTGCAGGACGTCACTCACAGTAGGTAGGACTCGAAAAGTGTAACGCCCCAGGAGAAGGACTGCACGTATAGCTTCCAATTTATTGGCTGTACCGAAACGAACGAAAGCTTGCTCTGTATGCGGCCCAGCAGGGCGTGCAGAAAATCCATTATGAGCGCAGTGTGTTCAGACGCACATGAAAATCCGTGGTAAACGAGAGAGAGAGCAACGCCAACGAGAACGCGGTGAGACGCTAGTCTCCCGAAGTCAGACCGTATTGCCTCCCTTATAAGGCAGGTGGAGGGCGGTCGGCATATAACGGTCTGCTTCCAGTCGCGCCTGCCTTGGCTGGCTCACCGATTTCAACATCACGTGAATTGTCCCACGGCCTTTGCCTCTATTCTCTGCTCTACTTTCGCTGCCTGGATGCATAACCAGGATCTCTTTTGACTGCATCTACAACTGAATACCATGTAATGGTACAGTTATGTGTTTTTATAACATCAAAACACTCAGAATATGCGACAGGACCATGGCAAGAGTTGCTGACTCAGCACCTCTGGCTCTTCCTAATTTGGACACCATCTCATCCTTTTGCCTCCCCGGCGTGTTTGTGAGCCATAGCGCCCTCGCACCTTGCACCCGGTGCACATTGGACGGGTATATGCCAGACTAAAGCAGAGTATGGATAAATTAATGTATATTTTAATTGGCAAGCATCATATACCAGCACAAACTGCATGGCAACAGCAGAAATGTAGCAGTTAATGAGGATTCATGTCTCCCTTACCTCTCTATTGCTCTGGAATACACATAATAAGGCTACACACACATTGTGAGGGCAAAGGACAACCTGAAAGAGCTTCAAACGCGCTCATACTCGCGTTCGACACTGCAGCGAGCGCGTCCTAAATGAGTGCACGTGACACTACAGGGTCCGAATATGCCTAATGTGCCAAGTGCCGCGCGTCTGGATGCAGACTAGTGAGACGCGTACCACGGACACGTCAAGCTGTGCGCGTCAAGTGACCTCCCCGCCGTCGCCGCCGGCAGCCTACACTCCCTTGCCTCGACGTCCGTCTCCACTCAGTTCGAATGTTCCCAAGGCCGTCCAAGCGAAAACACCGCGCGTCCGCGAAGTCTCGCCAGAGACACAGGCCGAGCCAGCACTCAGAACACGCCGAGCATGGTAACAATTCCGACGACGAGCATGAGCTCGAATCGCAGCCGGACCCGGCGCTCTTCATCCAGGCGTACGAGGCCGACTTGGTGCGCGGCCCGCAAGCATGGGCAGCAGCTGACTCACTCGAGGTTGTCCGAGTGAAAGATGGGGATCGTGAAGTAGTGAAGGCAGGGGAGGGTCTCATTCGATGGGGAGGGGCTGGTAACAGTAGGTACGAGGACGAGGAAGTACAAGCGGGGAATGCAAGACAGCAGGAAATCTGGGTGGACAGGTACGTTGACATTCCTCAGAAACTGCGAGCTGTACGACGGTCCTGTAACGCTGTTGGGCGTCCGATAATATATGCTATTGCTCTAATCTTATTCTACGGGTGCTGACATCCCTTGACGAGCACTCCTGTAAACCGTGATGTAGAGGCATGCTGGGTTTCCCATTCCTTCTTCGCCTCACGGACATCACTAAGCGTCTATGATATCACAGATACGATGCCCGCCTGCTCCTAGACGCCCTGCCCTCCAGCATTGCGGACACACAGGAGCCACTGTCCCCTACGCTCAGCACCTCCGGCTGGTCTGACCTGCCCTCTGACTCCGAAGACACGTTCTTCTTCACCCCCGCCGAGCTCGAAGACTACCACCGCCAGAAACGACGGCGCATTATCGACGCCGCGCGCGAGGAGCGTCTCCGGGCACTCCGCGAGGAAGACGACACCACCTTCGCGCAGAATCCGGAGGAAGACAGGTGGGGCGGGAGCGACGAGGAGCCCGACGCGCCGCAGCGCGAGCTCATGCGGCGCACCGCGGTGCACCTCAGCACCTCCCCGAACCCCGCGCAGCTGGAGATGCGCATCCTTGCGAACCACGGCGCGGACAAGCGCTTTGCGTTCTTGAGGGGGAGGTGGTCACGAGCGTGGCGCACGGTCAAGGCGGGCGTCAGGCAGGAGCAAGCACGAGCGAAAGAGAAGGAGAGTGAGAAGCCGGCGTTGGGAGGGTTGGCGGGGTATGGCGATAGTGATGAGGATGAGGGTAGCGAGAAGGGTGGTGATGACGATAGGGGTGGCGGCTCTAGTAAGCGGGAGATAGGCGAGGCACAAGCAGACGCAGCGGGCGCTATCGCGGAAGAACAGGCAGGAGACACTGATAAGGAGGAGGCTATGAAGGCTGCCAGACGTGCCAAAGCAAAGGAATGGGCTGCGAAACGGAAAGCGGCCAAGGAAGCTGAGTGATGTCCTGGTGGTACGGGTGCCGCGGCGCTTCGTCGATACTAGTAGCAGCTGGAATACTAACAGGCAGGCCATCACGAAGATAGCAGAAGATTATGAATTAGGAGAGCATAAGTAGAACAAGACAACAATCCATCCAAGTGAATACAGTATATTCAGGGGCCATGCCTAGTGGAATACTAGCAAATCAAGCCACCACCGAGCTACGCAAGACATCAGCTGCGAACGGGGGACACCATGCATGCTAGAAATGCGTACCTGCTGTACATGAGCGTCAATCATGTCCCCATCCTCCAACCCGACCTAGAAAACCCGGTATCAAGCCCCCGGCGGAATTGTGAGGCTACAGCTTTTCCAACTTACATCTGCTGGTGTCTCCTCCTTGCTTAGCCGCTTGTCCTCATAGAAGAACCGCAGGGAGTCTATCAGCACGTAGGAGGGTGTTAAGGGCGCTTGTAGCAGGGGATCGAGTGTGAAAGCACCTTCTGCGAACCCGAACTTCTTCTACACAATCCATGAGCAACACACACAAACGACATACATGAGCACAACTCACCTCCACCGCATCAAACACCTTCTTGAACGTAGTGTTCACCTTGAGCTTCACCGTCGTATCTGCACGCCCGCCACCCTTCGCATCAAATACAGCCCTTCAACAAACGAATATCAGCGCTGGCACTTACTGGTACCCTCGAAGTTGACCACAACGTTAATCTTCGGCTTGACGTCTTCGACTTCTTCTGAGGCGCCCATCGTGAATGGTAGAAGCGGAGGTACGGATATAAAGACAATTGATGATTGCGTCGGACGCGAGACGCGCGACGCGTCCGAGGACGCGTTATTTGTGCGACGCAAACAAAGGGAATCAATAATGTCGTGCCCTCGGGACCCGGGTGTTGGCAAACGCGCTATTGCTTCCAAGAGCGAGAAGAAGATCCCATATCTACGAGTAGCAGCACTACACAACCTAGGAGCAGGTATTATACATCTGAATCACCGATGATGAATATGGACATTGTGCAATGAAACCATCAGACTCGGAGCGAATCCCAATCCAGGAAATCAGAAATTGCACTCCGTTCCTACTTCGTGTTGTCGTTCCACCTATGAATACAAAATGATTAGAGCACATTCAATATGAGGATCGCACTGCACTCACAAATCCAAGAACAGCTTCCACAGGACCGAGAACATCAGCCCCTGCAACCCGTTCGCCAGAATCCTCGTCTTCAAGCCTCGCCCGAAGAGCCCCCTCAACCCATCGGTGGCGATGACCGCCTCAGCAGCTTCCATGTACCCGATGCGCGTGTCGTTCACTTGGCGGTATGTCTTGACGACGCGCAGGGAGTTCGACACGGTGTCGGAGACGATAGATGCGACGAAGCCGATGAAGGCCTGGCGGACGAGCTGCCAGAAGAGGGCGTGCGGGACGGGGATGTTTTCGCGCAGGAAGTTGTACGTGCCAAACCACTTTCAGTCGGAAGACAGCTCAGTCGTGCGTTTGTACGTTAATGGTGAGATACGAACTGGATAATGTCCGACAAAAGTAGCGGCGGCGGTAGCAAGCGCGCCGTACCATAGCGTAGTTATTCCATACTTCTTGATCTTTCGGGGAGTATTGATTCTCGGAGCTCACATAAACAGTAATATCGACGTACTCTGTCCTTCAGGATTTGCATGCCAGGCTTGCCCTGGGCCTGAAGCGTCGTCTTCACGGTATCGACGGGAGTGAGGATGATACGGAACGCCGCAGCCAGGAGCGACGCAAATACAGTCTTGATCAGCGACGGCAGCTCCTTCATGTAGCTGTTTGACTCAAGCAGAGCGAGGATGCCGACGTTCGCGGCAGTGTCTCCAAAGCGTGCGACGGGGCCCTGCACCAAAGCTGCAGTCAACCCCTGGTAGTATCGTGTCCAGCCTCCGTCATGATACAGCGTCTTGATCGCTGTCGTAGTTGTGGTACCGTATCTGTACTGGTAGTTCATTACCGTCCGGAGCGGCTACATCAATCTGGTGAGATACAAGAGCTAAGGATAGGCGGTGTGAACGTACCATCAAGGTCAAGACCTGAAGCACCATGGCTGTCTACCGGTCAGCGTCTGGAGCATGGTAAAGACATACTAGTGGCCACACACCAGCCGCCCCGCTGAGGCCTCCGCCCAGGGCGTCCTTCAGGGCCTTTTTGAAGTCGAACTTCCCCTACGTCAGTCCCCACTTGACGAACAGGATCTGACAGGACTCACGTCGACATCCCCTGCATCGATGAACCCCTTGATGAACATGGCAAGGAGGAATACCCCGCCTATGATCAGGAAGGAGTACCATGCTATCCATCCCCATGACCACTTCGGTTTCTTCTCCTCTGGCAGGACGTTCGCGGTCTCTTCATCCTCTGCAACGTTGACGTCGTATGGTGGCGGCTCGGACTGTGTGAGCAACGGCTGCCGTTCGTCGTCCCGGCCGGTAGGCACGGCTTGCGGTGTCGGCGAGCTCATTTCTGCTGCCCAATGTATAGGGACAGCGGTAGACCGAGGAGACAGCGAGCAAGCGACGACGGCAGTCTGACTAACGCCATCCTTGCGGTGAAGGTGAGAGGATATCTATTCTAGTCGTAGCCCGTTATCTACTCCGGACCGCCGGCATAGCACTGCACCAATATCGCACACCGATAGCAGGTTTACGGAAAACAAGGCAACAGGTCGTATTAGCACAGGTGACAACAAAATGGCGAATGATGTACAAATCTACTGCGCTTGTTCAGCGTAAATCTGGGGAATAGAGCTCGATATCAGGGTGTTCGCGAGATGGAAGATGGTCACAACGCACCTTGATGGTCTTATCAGCACCACCTGTGATTAAGCGCGTGCCGGTCATGTCGAAGGTCGAGCAGAAAACGCCCGCTTCGGCTTCCAAGGAACCAGGCTGAGGAATATCGTCGAGGTGCTGGAATGGAGTACCCGTGTTGTAATCCCAGAAGGTCAAGGTCCCATTATCACCTGGTACAAATCGTCAGCACTACGGCTTCGATCCCCGACATTAGATATCGAACCTCCTGAGAAGAACACGCCCTCTGAATTCACGGAGAGCGTGTTTATGATGGCATTGTGTCCGCTGAAGTTGAATACGAACGTGCCGTCTGGGCACTTCCATTTCTTAATGTTGTTACCGCCTGCAGAGCCTGACGCAAACGAGTATTCCGTGGGGTGGATTGCCAGTGCGCGGACGGACTTCTTGTGGTGGGTGAGTGTCGTCATGGTCTTGCCCGCCGCAAGATCCCATAGACTATTGGGCGTTATGTCTATCATAGGTAATGGAGGACTACAGCAGAAAAAATACGAACCGAACGGTGGAGTCCATACTCCCGGTGATAACCTGGGGATCTGACTCTTGGCATTTCACGTCAGCAACTGTCGCTGTGTGTCCTGCCAGGACATGAATCTGCGCTTTTGTTCGCATATCCCATACCCGGGCTGAAGCGTCTCGTCCAGACGTGACGAGGATATCGAGTGTCGGGTGCAAGCTGAGGGAATATACACCTGATAGATGTCCGTGATAATGCCGGATGACTTTGTTTTGTTCAAGGTCCCAGCACTTCACCATCTGGAACTCCCATCAGATCGGACTCGCAAAGCGAAAGCTTGGAGGGACTCACTTTGTCTTCTCCGCACGAAAAGAGATATGGGTGTCGCGAAGACACAGCGAGACCACGTACGGTGGATATATGCCCCGTCAGCGACAACTTCAGCTCTCCCGACGCCAGATCCCAAATCTTGATGACACGATCGCCAGCGCCCGTAGCGAACCACTTGTTTCCTGGTTCCACTGCCACACTCCGTACCCAGCCCAGATGCCCTGAAATGACACGCATGAGCTTCCATTGTGGATGATACGTGGGCTTGATGGTCCGTGTTGTCTTGTGTAGCTGTAGTGCTTGCGAGAGCTTCGTGGAAGAGGCAAATGTGGACGGCTTTTGCTGGGGGGTATTGTCGATCTTTGCAATCATCATCGAGGTATCTGCAGCGGCTATACCAAAAGGTCAAGCATAGTCCCTCTGCCAAAGATGAAAGCAGTACTTACGTCCAGCCGTGATAGCCTTCCGCTGCTCCTTTGGTCTTGCAGGGCCCACTGGCCCCTGTTGAGCGAGCAGCGTTGGTGGGAGCTCCTTGTAGTGTTTGTACTCATCGTTGATCTTGACTGAAAGTCTTAGTCTCGCACTGCAACGGAGGTACCTCGAGTGAGCGCAGTCCCTCCTCACCTGATATTCATGCTAACCTTGTCTCCTCTTCCTGCATCCCCGCGGCTGGACATGATGCAAAGACGTCATATGTTCGCTTTGCGCAACTTTTGAGAAGGGGGTTTAGAGGAGGGAGTGTCGACATTGAGGAGTCGGTTTCGAGGAGTATCCGGGACTGCTTGGGAGTGTAGAACAGAGCCGAGAGTTAGGGTAGCAGAGAGCACAGTCCGATAAGTTCTATGAGTGGACTGTCTTCACGCTCGTCGGCGTGAACAGCGAGCGCGGTGTTTGTACGTGTTTAGGCCAACAGGCGCCGCCACATCCTCGCAGCTCTTTCCCAAGCACTCTCAAACGCTGACTCGTACGCGTCGATAGTCAGCGAGACGTTGGTATTACCGATCCCGCCAGTGTCGTAGATAGCTCCGGTAGATAGACGAAAGATGTCCGGCGCGTCAGAGTTAAAGACGCTCGTGAAAAAGCTGCAAAGTGCATCGTCAGACGAGGTACGAGTGCATTCCTCCCTACTGCCTCCCTGTCACTCCCGTTCATTTATGTTTTCTGACATTTTCCACGTTTCTGGGCCTTTTCTGGGCCTTACAGGAGACACTCGGGATCTTGCAGACTCTCAAGAAGGAGGCGGTCATTACAGAGGCGTTGTTACGGGTGAGTTTGCGTTGTTTATGATTCGTGTGAGCGCCATTTGACGAACGCCGAATCCGTTTGAGTAGGAAAGCAAAGCTGGTCTAGCTGTGGGCAAACTACGATCTCACGGTAACAAAGATGTATCCGACTTGGCGAAGGAGGTTGTCAAGAAATGGAAGCAGGCGGTCGAACGAGAGAAACTGAGCAACGGTGGCTCGGCGAAGGGGGCGCCAAATGGCAAGGTACCAGGTGCGTCCGCTCTAGTAATCCCGCCGGAACCACTGCTTACTGACATATGCTGCGCTCCTGTTAGAGAGAAAGGCCTCCATGACACCCGCCACGCCGATCACCCCAACAGCTCAGAGCCCGTCCGCTCGTAAGAGCCCTCTTGCCGAGCGTACGGCGAAGAGCGATGGTATTCGGGTGGAAGTCACCGGCGACAAGACGCGGGACAAATGCATCGAAATCATCTACGATGCCCTGGCAATTGATTCTGGTGCTCGTGAGTCATGATCCCGGGTCGGTGTATGGTCAAGTGACTGATACTGGTATCCCACAGCGAGCGAGCAGATCCTCGGACGGGCAAAGGGGATCGAGGCCGCGGTGATACAGCAATTCAACGGGGCCAATGCTGCTTACAAAAGCAAGATACGTTCGCTGTTCGTAAACCTCAAGGACAAGCACAACCCAGGACTGCGTGAAAGCGTCGTCTCTGGAGATCTGCCCGTTGCCAAGTTTGCCACTATGAGCAGCGCTGTATGTCGACTCTGTCTTTGTCCTGCGTATTCTCTTATGCGTGTTGTGGTAGGAAATGGCCTCTGAAGAAAGGAAGGCGGCGGATAACAAGATCAAACAGGAAAATCTGTTTAACTCGCTTGGTGCGGAGGAACAGCAGGCAGAGACGGATGCATTCCAGTGTGGCAGATGCAAACAGGTATGTATTTTGCGACATACATTGGATAGACAGTCTGAATTCCTGTCACAGAGGAAGTGCCGCTACCGCCAAGCACAAACGCGGAGTGCGGATGAACCTATGACTGTACGTCTCCACACATACCTTTATCACTTAGCATTATGCTGACCTTTTTCGCCACAGACCTTCGTAACGTGAGTAGAGAGCACTAGTTCCGGTCTTTTGCCTTGTCTAACATGTTTTCTCCTAGCTGTGTAAACTGTAACAACAGGTAAGACCCGCGTATTTGCATTACACGTTTTTCCTTACTAAGGCAACTCCCAGATGGAAGTTCTCGTAAATTATCGCTGGACTTAATATCCTTATGGTATCGCCTCCTTTTAGTCCTTGCTCTCACCCTTGTTTCCGCTTTTCCCTTGTACCATCAATAGTAAAGTGCATGTCCCGCTTTTCTGTTCTGCACATGTACCGAATACCATTCCCATATCGTCCAATATCGTCTGGTGTGATTACAGCCTGTGGGCAATGGCGAGAAATGTGATTGCAGGTTCGAGGTGGCCGTATCCAGCAGTGTTGGGCCGGTTGACGCCAGTTAGTTTAGTTGTTTCGTCAACTAAGCAACTAGTTCTACAAAGTTTAAGAACCGTTGACTTTTCGTCAACCTGCCCACGGAGGTCAACTTTCCCACTCACTACCATATACGGTGAAAAACCTTAGCTAAGCGCATGAGTTCAAGACTATAGAGAGCAACCCATCATCCCTGCAATCAGAACGGACGGGGAACTCAACATCTCGACGGGAACTGAGGAGGACTGCTGGCGGGCAAAGCTCGCGCCACAGTTCCGCCGGAAAGTTATCCAAAAGTAAACGGAACTAGTTGACGAGTTGACGGTTCTCCAATCTTTCGTCCACTAGTTCGGAACTGGCACAACACTGGTATCCAGACAATTGCCATTTCCAGTCAAAGCTTAAATTGGATAACACCTTGCGCTGCTTCTTCGATATGACTCCTCTCAATGGTCCTTTTACTTTCCGCTTTGTTGTCTACTGGACCTGCCCTGACGGATTCACTGAATTCATCGTGTTCTGCAATCTTGTGCAAGGGAAGGAATGTTGGAAACCTGAAAGCCATAGGAATCCTCTAATAACCCTGACGAAGATGCAGCACAACCCGATCACCATCGCCCTCGAGAGTCGAGACTTGTTCTGGGAATGCGGACCTTACGACTATACTCATTTGAATGCCTTTTGGCTGCCGTAGAGCACTCTGATCCGGAACGGCGATTTCCCTAGAGAGGTTGCTGCAGAGCCGAATTAGAGGACCTTCCACCCTGCATTTGCATGGAGCCCAGGGGGGGATGGACTGGTATGTATCGCGATTCTGCGTTACTATAAGAGATTCAGCGTGTACCCAAGCGTGGCGTCTGGCATACTGTCGCAATCCTGCTCACCAACTGCGGAGTTCTTCTGGGAGGTTGACGTCTCGTGTCGACATCCTGTCTGCCTGAGGGGAGCATATCTGCGTCTGGCCATCGATTGTGGGTCCTGGGATCATGGTGCTTAAATGGACCTAAGCTTACGGCCAGTACCAACATCCTTGGACCGTAGTACTCCTCTCCGTTTAAGTACCAGAGGCTCCTCAAGGCGTCACTCTTCAGGCCTGAAGTAGCTGCAGAATCTCCCACCTACTCTATCGGCTCTGTTCACTGTTGTATCTGCTGCGCGGACTCCATCCATCTGCTAATTGTATTCAGCCCTAATTTCTGGAGCTGCCTACAGTCACGAACTCTTGACCGACGCTGGACTACTGTCAGAAAACTGGGCTCTGTGATGAAGGGAAGTACCGTACATCTACTTCGCCCTCTCCAAGGCTAGCTTTTGCAGCGGACATCTTTGGACCGTTTCAAGGGTGGGCTAGCTATTTGTTGCTTTCGTGACTATGACACCTTCCATTAGGCGGTAAAGCATAACGGATAGCGTCATCCAAAGTCTCAATACACGAGGAGATGGATGGATCTTCGTCCCACCCATTCTAGGATCTTTCGTCATCGGACCCCACATTTCACTGAGGCTTTGGAAGATGACGAGACGCAAAGCAGGCGACTTTCATTCAAGCGATACAAACAATCCGATTCCACAAATGAAGCAATACCCCGAGAAATTATGAGAAAAAATTGTCCGAACACGTCATCCCTCGCTCCCCAGCACTACTCGTACAATGAGAAAGCAGATAAGAACCAATACTCGTACATTAACATTTCAACGGCGTCCGCGTTCCTACATGCTCCCAGCTGCAGCCGCCTGCATCAAATGGTCCTCTCGAGACTATTGCGCCGTCACGTCGGTGGCCAGGGTTTACGGCCGTGACGATATGCCAATACGTGTCTAGACGCCGCAGACCAGGAGGCGAAGAAGGTCTCTGGGCCCTCTGACTGGAAGAGGGGGGATGCGAGACTTGATCACTTCCCGCTCGGGTGGAGGCGGGGGTGGGGTACGCTTGCGCCAGACTTCGCCTCTGGTCTTCATAACGGCCTCCGCAGCGAGCTCGTGGGTCATATCAGAGAGCGCGTCGGGCGAGGGCGGTTGACTCTGCGCGAACGACGTAGGGGCATTGACGTCAGAGGAGCTCGACACGAACGAGGACGAGCGATCGCATCCGGATTTCTTGGGAGCGGTGATGGAGGCGTTGCTGCCCGCCGGTGTGATGAGACTTAGCAAGTCCTCCGTAGACGATGCGGGCGAGCTGTGGCCCTCGCTCGACGATGAGCTCCACGCGTCGTCCTCCTCCCAGTCCGCGAAGGGATCGAACTTCATCACCGGTGGCCATGTCGCGTATGCCGTCGGCAAGTGTGTAATCTCCCCCATCATACGCTGCGATTCAGCGTAGTCGAGCTCTCCTTCGTACCCTGCGAGCGCGCAGTTGAAGTGTGGCGCTGCGTTGGGTACCTCCCGCCAGTCGGGGGTAAGCGGCGACGTTGGGGTGGGTAGCCAGTCGCGCTCATCGAAGTTGAGAAGCCAGCCTGGTCGCGCCTGGCGCGGTTTAGGATGATGTAGGACGGGTTCGTCTGGGAGCAGGTTGGTTATTTTGCTCGTTTTCCCGGACAGCTAATGACCAATCGTTTCAGTGACCTATTCTCGACGCGTTGAAAAGGGAGCATACTTCATCCAACTTATCGAACAGCTCATTTAGGCGCGTCGGGGTGATGTTCGTGTCGTACATCGCGTGGCGATCATCGTCCGTCAGTGCAGGGTTCATGGGATCTGTGGCGGGCCACTGGGTGGAGGACGCGTCGGGCGGCAGCGAGGACAGATGACCGCCAGTGGCGTAGGTGAACGCGATGTCAATGATGATGTTCGACATGGTATCAGAGTTGTATGGTGATAGCTTGTGAAATGTGGTGAGTGTCGAGGTGGAAAGACGATGGAGGCGCGTCTAATGGTGGGCACTGATTGAACTGGAATACCGGCAGGCACCGACTTTTATAATGCGCGCGCCACTGGTCAAAGCGTCGCCTTTGTTCTCTTTTTGGGTATCATCCGGGCCTTGCGCCCCTGCGCTTGGACTTCCCGGACCGCCTCATGGTCATTGCCCTAGTGATAGGGTGCATTCGCAAGCTAGAATATGGGGTCCTTGCGCTGCAACACTGGTACTATGGACAGCCCCGTGTGGCGTCTACCTCGCGCCACCCTCGTCTCTACCTGCTGGCCCGAGCATTATGGCACGCTCCTGTTCTTCGTCTCTGGCACCCCTTTTGTGATTGGTAGGTCTGTGCGTAGGATCGCGTTGGCCTACATAGGTATCGAGCTCGGCCATGGATGCCCGTCATCTATGTGGGTTTAGTACTGCTACGGACTGGTGTGGCGGGCTTTGCGCCACCGGCTACTGTATGCGTGCTGACCAGACGAGTGCTGCTAACCGCCTTGGCTGCTCAGCAGTCTTTTATATCCCGCATGCTCCTTATACATGTTTTTGTTTAGCTACGTTTGTCTATAGAGGTATCAACCAACAGTGCGTATCCCATACAATAAACACAATAAGGTGCTACTCCCTCACTACATTCACAGCGACGTTCGTGAGATCCACTTTCTCTTTGTCATCGTCGAGACTGGAGGCGTCTCTGTTGGTCATCCAGTCGTCCTCCGAAACCACGTAGTCGGGAGGTTCGTTCCATTCCTTCGATTTCATCATACATTGCGGTGGATGCAAGAGACACAGCCCCCAATATACCATAAAGCTAACGAACAGGCCAATCGGGTAGGCGAAGTAGTATTCCCGTTCCGCGCCCAGACTGACGTTGACTCCGAATACGCCGAGGAAGCCGTAGAAGTTGGGTGCAATGCCCATCAAGTAGGCAACGTATGCGCGATAGTTCCATCCATTAGAATACCAATAAAGTCCAGACGGCTTGGTGGTATAGAGATCCGGGATTAGAAAATGGCCGCGACTGATAAGGTAGTACTGGCAGAGCATCACTCCGGTGATAGCAGAAAGGAAGATCCTGGAGTCAAAGCGGCGTGAGTGGCGCACGCATACAAAGTGTAATCACTAACTGATAGGAGGCGAGCCAACTGACGAAGCTTGAGGCCGTCCCGAGGATATACCAAGGGCACATTGCGTAAGAAATAACGGCAGCGAGGTAGAAGCCTCGACGGATGGTGATAAATCTAGGCCAGAGTGCGGCGAGATCGTTGCCTGGCGGAATGGAATTCTCAAATATAGAAGAGAATATCGAACTGTAAGTAAACCCAAGGGCGAGAAAGAAGGCGCCCGCTCTGGTTCTTGGAGTATAATCACGAGTGAGCATGGCATCTAGGAGAGTAATCGGATTCCAGATCAGCTACAGAGGCTGTAGGTCAGCGACGCTGGCAGAATAATGTGGCTGAAAGAGGACGAACGTCACCAAATATAATCTGAGATGTTGACCCGACGATGTTCCCGACTAAGCCGATCAATAGTGTTGACAGGGGAAATCCAATGAGTTGTGGCCAGAAGGCATCTTTAGGTCTCCTGGCATACCGCATAAAATCGGCGGCGTTTGACGCGTACGTGGCACAGTTAGCGCAGTAAATCCAGATATACTGCGCGATAAGCCAGGACTTCTTAGTCCCATATACAGTACTGTTTTGACGTGCAACGGGCCCAATGCCTCCAGCCTCTTTGACAGTCCAGGCCAACATCCCGATGCAGCAGAGAACGAAAAATAAGAGCTTGACGTATATGTACCACTTCAGCTTGGGAATTCTTATGTGAAGGAAAGAGGTAGTCAAGATCCTAGAGAAAAAGGCTTCAGACCAAGACCCTCTGGGTGGTGTACGAAGACTGGACACTTTTACCTACCAGAATAGTGCAAAGCCAATAAGACCACCAGACGTCAAAGCCGATGCATCGGGTGGAAATACATCAGGGATTCTTGCGATCGAGGGAAATATTGCATGGAGCATTACATATGTGCATTGACCGCCCTGTACGGCATTGACACCGGTCCATACAAGAGTCATCACAACTCTGTTGATCACAGGCCAATAACCCCCCCATACACCGAAGCTAGCTCGAACAATGGCAGGGTACGGAATATGATAGACGGCCCCAGCGCGGCCATTAAAACAGAGGATAACTGCAATAATGACTGATTATCTTCAGCATATTATCCGCGCGAGAAGTACAGCACGACCACTTACTCTGGCCTCCAAGTTGACAGGCGATACCCTCCCACAAGCTCAAGCCCGCTGCTAACGCTGTCGTTGCGCCGTAGAACGAGGCGGGGGTGGCATTGGCAGAGAGCCAAAACCAAAAGTACGTTCTCCACGTATACGTCCGGTCTTTGACAGGAATAGGGCGCAGGTCATCGTTATCTAGCCATTGATGACGATCTTTACAGCGACCCTCTCGATACTCTTGCGTCTCCAGCACACGAATCCAAGACATCTGCAGGTTTGAGAGTAAGATAGGGTGTTCTCAGGCACCTGGAGTAAACGGCTGTTGTGCATCTGGACAGCATGAATCATGTCGGGTTTATTATCTGCGGACCCAGGCTCACCTTATCTGCGTTGTGGGGTAGCATGCCGGAATGCATCGATAGAAGGCAAGTGCAGTTGGCAGCCTGTGGGACATTCCGGGAGCATTATCAAGGTTATTTCCGGTCTATGTAATGATGAAAACCAACTCGTCAGTGGAAGCAATAGCTAGGCGTCAAGCTGAGGGAACCCAGAGAGTCGATTCAATAGGTTCCGCAGATGTATTCGCCCTGTGAGATGGGCGCCAGTAGTACTGGCTTGACGCACTCACACGTGACAAGACCGTAACAATGGTAGTAGTCACTTTGACTTGAGCAGGCAAAAGTCGTGGTCAGAGAGGGACCTTGGACAACTTCATCAACTATCTGCGCCTGCGCTCAGATATTCCTGCACAGCAACATCCAGTACTCGTTGGCGACATTCCCCACAAGCGCTGGCGGGCGACCTCCTTCCGCTCAACAAGCGCAAGACAGGATGCCTGACATCCATCCCAGCGAGGTGACGCATTCGTTAATGATACTGTCCACCATCCAGCCTGGAACTTGCATACTTGCCTTTCGACCCCTTCGAATCTGCCAGTGCCGTGGACTTCACCCCATCCTTCCTGGAGTCGCGCGTCCGTCCAAATAAGGAGAATGTACTGTTTGCTGTGATAGATAAGAGACAACCTGCGCATGATGGTAGCCAGCCATTGTCCCGAACCTTAGCAGGGATAATCAGCCTGTTGAATACATCACCTACAGACCTCATGACGGAGATGGGGTTCACCCTGACATTTCCAGCTTTGCAAGGAACCCATGTGACCAAAAGCGCGACAGCGCTCTTGCTTTGCTGTTGCCTCGATCCTAGCCCCGTCGGGCTCGGTCTTAGGCGAGTGCAGTGGCAGGCGAATATCGCCAATCAGGCGTCTATACATGTGGCCGAAAGGATGCGATCCACCAAAGAGGCCGTCAGACGATGGGACAGGGTCGTGCCAGCCGATGGGAAGGTCGGAAACGGGCGGAGAATAGGGTTCGGGGATCCCAAGGGAGCTAGCATTGGGAGAGACATAGGCATATTGTCTATTTATTGGGATGATTGGGAAGAGAGGCGAGAATTTATCCAAGGAGTAAGAGACGTGCACTTTCAAAGAGAGGTGAAGACAAAGAAACTTACCGATATAGCGTCAGTGACCAACGTGCACGATGAGTTACACGGCGCTGAAAGGAGCAAGAAGTAGAGCATTGCGACGCAGTCGACTTCATCTGTATGGCAAGTATAGACAGCCGCCGACCGGAGCACGGGTCCCGTATAGGTAAAAAACCTCTCCTGGATCTGTCTTCACTGGTGTCGGAGAGTCTATACCCATGGGACAGAGGGAACTGACCCAGATCCTCCAGTAGTCGCCAAAAGCTCGTCAGGTCGACAGCTTGAATAACATGTATTGCCGTCCTTCGTTCCCAAAGTCTCGACGGAGAACGAGAGATGACCAAAAGAATCCAGCTACGGCGCTCATAGAAAAGACCATCTCAGCGAGGAGAATGATACCGGGACTTCAAAACATCGCAAGGGGTGAAGTTCCAAAGACAGCAACCAAGCGAGACGCTACTAAGGTTCCAGAACTGTCAGCCTAAGGGATTTGGATCACAAGCACTGGGCCAGGATGGCTTCATTAAATTGGAGATCAAGTTTGATGTAGAGGTGTCTTAATAGGTTCTTTTCATCATCTCCTTTCCCCTGAGCTGTGCCATCCCCAGCCTATCTTAACTAGGACGAGCGTATACCACCACAGCTCGTTACCTAGGACTGGCAGATCGTCGCACTCGTCTGTTCCTCCTCTTTCAAGTTCGAAGTTCAAGGTACTTTGTCCCATTTCAGGTAGGACGTGTCCGTGCGACAGGCCACTGAGGCCAGAGAAGCAGAGAGAAGCTGGCTGGTCATCGGGGCTGCTGTATTTCGGACAAACCCGAAGCTTCTTTCGGCCACGTCCGCGAACGAGATTCAATCCTCCAAGGAGTGCAGGGGGGAGTGTTTCTGCGGTCAACTACTATGTCGTTCTTGTTATTATCTTCTAAGTGCTGTAGACTCGATGTATAGTAGTTATAACACCCTAGAAATCTATCGTCTGAGATGCGTGTATGAATTGACATACGCGACTGCACCCGAAAATTTAGTTCTGATGGAATTGAACGAGTGTAACCCGCGGCGTGGTAAACGCCGCGTTGCCTCCTCCCTCTACTCTGTGGACCCGTCCAAGGCCCATCGTATCTTGGTTTTGTTCTGGTTTCGCGAGTCTGTCGGTCTATGAAATTTGACTAGTTATTCGAGGTAGCGCTGGGGAACTCCCATGGATTGTTTTCCCTGCCCCGGACATGGACAACAACTCCGGAAACATACCCGCCACCGGCCTCCTACGTCTGTCCGACATCGTAGGTCATCGAAAGACGCGGACGGTATATGGGACCCAAGACGGATAAATGAAGACGGAGCCTGGCGGGATCGCCGACATCACTAGATGACCGACGCGCGAGGCGTACGATGCAGGCCCCTGTCTTCAAAAGATAATGGCCGGTCATGGAGGTACAATGGGGACTGGAGGACTGGACATAAGGATGCGAGGGAGGATTCGGCGGCGAATCGAGAGAAAGATTCCCGCGATCATCCTTCATGGCCGACGGTAATCTGGGGACCTTCTCCTGTCGCTTGACCCACAAGAGTACCCCGCAGCATGGTGTTTCCCGCGTCTGCGGGCGGGGATGTACTAGCTTGACGCCGTACGGCAGAGGATCTGGCTCGTAGGATGCACTGATCTCCGTGGAAGGGCGGTCGTAGCAGCCTGCGATATTCTGTAAATCCGGTCGAGATTGAGACGACTGCGACTCACCAGGAACGGAATCCTCTTGCTCGTCTGACAGTCTACTAGGTTCTCTGTAGAGTCGTGGTTTATCTGCCTCTAGCTTGGCCCGATCTCGAATGCACGCTGGGATCATCCGCGGGTCGCTGCTGCGCTGCTATCTTCGTAGCTTTCATGGTACGTCGAACGACGGTTCACATCCGTTCTCCTCAATATCTCTCTGTGCGGGAGATTTGTATCTGCCTGGGTGACTTCAACGTTGCTGTGGAATCCAACTCAGCCGTGGTTTCTTGGCAGAAAGTAACATAATGACTCACCCAGACCCTTATCAATTGCGGGGTACCTCATGTATGATACTCCAGCGGTCTCGAGGCGTCCACGTTACACCTGTAGACGTTGTACGTATCCTGAGAGTCGTGCTTTCGAGCACGGTCATCAGCATACATACAGACGCTCCAGGCACAGCTGACGTTCCTGATTCGGCTTCGCCGTCCCAGGATTTGACAAACGGACACTGCGGGATGTATCTCTCAAGAAACCTGCGCGGGGAGCGGATGCGTCGCTCAGAAACGCAGAGGATGGATGAGGAGACTTTCGGTGGCACCAACATAGGACTTGTCGATTATCCTGGTATCCGTTCGGCAGCTACCGGATCTCGGCTAACCGTCCTCAATGCCTGGTTTCGTCCAAGGCTCAGACGTCTCTGGAGGAGAGCAGAATATTTATTTGCTTGCAATACAAATGATTCGAAACAGGTGGAGAAATGAACAGGAGCCCAATGACTATGCAAGTCGTACAGAAGGAAAGCCCAGAATAAAAGAAACCGTGTGTATTGGCTACCATCCCGATAACGTTCTATGTCGACACCCAACCGAACGGCCAGTGCCTGCTCTTCACCCACTCCTAACGACGCATACGATTGCCTCGCACAGCGCTCTATCTCGCGCTCTCTCGGAGGCATCTATCATCTCCGGATCTCTCGTAGGCGTTTCAAACGTGGTCCACGTCATCCTCCTCGACCCTGTCTGAACGTTGGGGCCGCGCAGCTCTGCCAGATACGGGCGGTTGTCCGCGGGGTTGGGAGTGCCGGGCCCATGGGGAGGGTTTGCCGATTGGAAGACCTCGAGGGGCTGCTCGAGGCGCCACCTAATCTCCTCGTCCGTCAGAGGGAATCGGGCACCCCGTAGCCGCATCGCGATCTCCAACACCTCCTCGTCCGAGCGCTCGGGGGTGCTTTCTCGACTATCCGACGAGTAGCTAGGGCTGGGGTTATGGTGGGGAATGTCGGGCGACGGGCTCCGGGAGTCGAAACCGCTCAAGGCCGCCCGCCATGCTTCACAGAGGCGCTCCGTTTCCTCTCTGGGCAATGAGCCGACGGTTGTCAAGCTGGAAGGAACCTGCGAGTCCTCCCTCGAGGCAGGATATGCGGTCCCGCTCTCGGACGCGTCCCGTGCGGCGGCGAAGACGTTGTCCGTCGACGAGTTGTCGCACTTCAACTTGGCGGATGCGGGCATTGCGCAGCCGTTCGCGGGTGTGATAATACCCGGCAGTTCGTCGTTGGAGGATGCGGGGGATGTGCCCACGAACTCGGGCACGCGCGCAGGTGCTGCTTCTGCGTAGGCGGGCGCAGTGGACTGGGCCAGCAACTCCTCCAGTGCCTCTTCGACGGCTCGCTCTGCCTGCTCCATAGACGAGAGCTCGGAGTACATTCTCTCGGATTCACTGGGTTCCAGGGCTCCATCGTATCCCCCCAATGCATAGTCAAAAGGCGAGTCCGATGAGTTCGCAATAGAACGGGGATTTGGGAGGCCTGCGAGATCGAACATGGTGCCGTTAATCCAGGCTAGTCGGGTGTCGCAGCGACGGGGTTTTGGATGGTATAGCAACTGCTCCGGAGCAGGGAGCTCTAAGCTCTGGTTGGTCATTTTGTGTGCTTTGGTGGACGACTAATGACCAAATTTCTTCAGTGAACATCTTTAGGACTCGTCGCGAGATCCTACCGAATGCACATTCCGCATCACTCGCAACGGAGCAGTCTCCGTATGAACGGTGGCACCAGAGTGGTTTAGTTCCGGTTCCTCGTGTATCGTGCCAAGCGTGCTTGCTGCGCTGTAACTTGCCGTTTGACGCGTCCTCTTGCCTCTGATGCCAGATGAAGGTCCTTTCAACATCGTGCTTGAAGTTATTCAAAGAAGCAGAGGAGCGATGGGAGTCGTTTGCGGGAGGTTGAAGTTCTGGTTCAAGTCGCGGACGACGGGTAGCGTGGTGACTGCTGCCTTTTATGTTCGCACGTCGGCAGCTGCCGAATCAGAAACCCCTTCCTCATCGATTTTGTGCCCTCTGCAAGGGCTCTTGGGATGCAGAGCACGTCGTGAGCAGTTCCAGGGTGAAATGATAATCACGGGTGCCAAAATTATAGAACAGGATTAGCAGGGATTGCATATCTGAGGCCGCTTGCCCGCTCATTCGATAGCTCTTCAATACCCAATCGTTTCAACAAACCGCATGACTAGTGAAAGCATTATACTACTCGATGATCTCATTCCAAGAACAACCCACAACCCTCATTATCCATCTGCATTTCCTTCCACCGACTCCCCTCGTTCACCAGTAGTTCCCCCTTCTGACGCGAACAGCCTGCCTACCAGGACGGGCCATCTTGTACGGATGGACGTTGCGTCGAGCTAAAGGCGGCGGGATGGTCGTCTTCCCCTGGCTCTCGAGCACGGTCAAATGTTCCTGAGTCTGCTCGGCAGAGTACTCGGCGAGCTCGCCGGGCGCGGGGAAGGGCCAGTAGGACTGCATATCGAATTTAGCTCACCGTCGGGAGGAGTAGGGGTGCTGCTGGAGTCCTCAGAGCTGCGCTCGTCGGGGACGACGGTTGAACAATAGTCGTCGTCGACTGCGGCGGACCCGCCGTAAACCCCCGCCATCGTGTTAGTCGCGAACGCCTGCTTGAGCATTTCGAACGCGTTGAGAGCTGCAAACGATATCCTTGGATCCGGCTTGGATGTTTCATGTTCTGGCATGCTGTGTATCTCATGGAACATCCGAAACCATTCCTTGGGTGTGAGTGGCGCAACGAGCCCCTTGCACTTGAAGGCCGGTATATCGGTGACGGCGGCGTGCTTGCTTTGAATAGATGGTGTTGAGAGCGTTGTGCCATCCATGGTTGGCTTGGATTCGATCCTGCGTACTTGGTCTTCCAGGTCATTCTTCTGGTTGGTTATTTTTCTGGCTTCAGAGCTCGGCTTATGACCAATCTCTCTTTAGTGGAAAGCAGCAGATGCGTAAAACTTCCACTATTTACCTGCTTGAAGAATGTCGCAAAGCGCGACGTGGGCGCGGCTTCGCCATTCAACAATCGTCGCTCCTCTTCTGTACGGGAGTGGCACATCGCAGTCGCGTCGCCAGACGATGCTTTCGGTGGCGACGACACCAGCTCAGGCGCATCCACCGGGGCGGCTTCGGCATCGACCATTGGGGTGTCCGCAAGCGGTGACATCTGAGTGAAGTGATTGTGCTGGAAGGTGATTGTCGGTAAAGAAAAGAGAGTAAGACACAGTCGCGGGCAGACCGAAGAACTGATATGGATCCTGCCAAGAACGACAAGGGTCCTTTGCCGGGCGGTTAAAGATGTGGCTAAAGCCGCGGGGTGACTGCTGACTTCGATATTCGCACGAGGGCAGCTACCGAAGCACAGACCTTCCTTATCGATTATGGACCCCCAGTATGTGCCTTCGGGAGGCAGAGCACGTTCCGAACAGTCCCCAGGTGCAATGTTATGTACGTGGCCAAAAATACGGAACAACACAAGCAGAGTTCAGATACTCAAGACAACCCCTCAATACTCAGTCTCTCCAAGTAACCGAACCCCAGTCAAAGTAGTTCAATTCTACGAGGTCTCATTCCAGAATAACCCACCACCCCTCCTCATCCGTCCTCATTGTTTTCCACCATCCCCCCTCGTTCACCAGTAGCTGGCCCCTCCCGACGCGAATGGTCCATCTCCCAGGACGGGGCATCTTGTACGGGTGGACATGGTGTCAAGCTAAAGGCGGCATGGACGTCTTCCCGTGGCTCTCGAGCACTGTGAAATGATCCTGAATCTGCTCGGCGGTGTCATCGGTGACCTCGCCGGGCGTGAGGACAGGCCAGTAGGAGCCCTTCAGCATCTGCATGTTGAACCCAACATCACCCCCCGGGGGAGTAGGGACTTCGTCGGAGCCCTTGGAGCTGTACTCGTCGGGGATGACGGTCGAACAATTGTCGTCATCGGCTGCGGCGGGCCCGCCGTAAACCTCCGCCGCCGTCTCAGGTGCGAAGGCCTGCTTGAGTTTTCGAACCTGTTGAGGGCTGCGAATGACATCCTTGGCTTCGACGCGGACGTGTCCGGCAGACTGTGGATTTCACGGAACATTCGAGACCATTCCTGTGGCGTGAGTGGCACAACGAATGCCCTGGCTCTGCACTCGAGGCCGGTATATCGGTCACGGTGGCATGCGTGCTTTGAAGAGACTGTTGAGGACACGGCGTCATCCTTGGTGCCATTGGGATCGACCTCGCGGACTTGGCCTCGCTGATCGTTGTTCAGGTTGGTTCTATGAATTGTTGTTGCTTCGCGGCACGGCTTATAACCAATTAGGGGAAGTCACGGTGCTCGTTTTAAGGACCGTTTTAGCCTCGAACACGAAATCCGTTTTAGCCTCGTTTCTGCAAAACGGCTCTGGAGCCGTTTTGCACAAATCGCGAACACGGTTTTCGTTTTAGCTCGGCATCTCTCGGCATTTCAGTCTTAGGTAAGCTCGGAGTCGCAAATCCTCTTGCCATATCTAGGCTTAACTGAAGCCTTGGAGAACTTATGTCCCCTCCCGAGTGTCTAGTTTGTGCTGGGAAGTGACAGTGTCCTTCTGTAGTATATACCAAGTGTTTAAAACCATCTCAACTTAAAGAGTGCTGTACCTTAAAGAGGAATCACGGCTCTACATTGGAACTCCGCCTACAGTCAGTGGCTGTAAACGTTGTGTAAACGCGTGCTTGAACGAAGCGTTGAACGGCCCACAAAACGGATTTTATGTGGGGTGGTCACGGTTGATTTCGGTTTACGATGCGTTTTAGAGGTCGACAACGAAATGCAAAACGGACGCTAAAACGGCCTTAAAACGCCAACCGTGACTTCCCCTATTTATCCTTAGTGAACAGCAGTGGACACGTAAATAATCG